TGAAATTAACTCCGTGCAGATATCGATTTCGATCCTTTTCATTTAAATGGAACTGGGATGGTATTAATTGTTTGGACTCGAATAGCTCTTATCGAGCTTGGCAACGTTTACTTGAAACATTTTATTTTTGTGTTCTGAAACTTTATCAGAATGGAATAGAATTTGATTTGGATAACAGGATTAAATTGTATTCGATTACACATTCGACTTTTAACAATAAAACTATCGACAATTGTGGTATATCTATTTGTACCAAAGAAATTAAAACGATAGATATCGGAATAAATGTATAGTGCAATGGAAGTAAATGTTTGTTCATTCTTTTATAGAAAACTATGGTGAATTTTTAACAATTTTTACCACTTTCGGTGGTTCTAGTATTAAAATACAATTATCTTGGAAACGAAGTACTATAAGATTTTTATTCCACATTCTCGACTCGCATTTCTTTGCGGGGAATCACACCCTGACGATTGATCCATGGATAACGCTCCGTATAATCGGAGGAAAACCATAGAAGCAAGATGAATCGGTGACGGGACACCGAAGGGAAGTTGATTATTGACGCGAGGGGTTAAAAGGGAAAGAAAAATGAACGTCCCGTGTAAGTCCCTGCTGAACGCGTGATCGCTCAATGGCCGGGTTGAATTCTGTTGGAACGTAGAAAATCAGTGGTCGACCGACATCTGACATGCCGTCAACGCTACCCGAGCACGTATGCTGGCCATTCCGCTAATGTTGACCGGAAGTGTTTGTTCCGATGCATGCAGCAGTAGCATGCCGGACAGCACTTGTCTCGTGGATCGTGTAACGCTGTAGTCCAACATAATTGTTGGCGTGCCAGAATTTACCCAGCACATAGGTGGCTGGATCGGTGCTGGCATTTGTCCCTGTGCTGTGTACATCCACCCTGTATGCGAGGATAATTCGTCGCAGCCTGAAGCGGATTTGATTGCGCGACGTCCATGATAAATGTAAATGCAAACAATCCTCGACAACCGAATCCGCGGCGTGCCGGCTAATTTCCATATCGTCTTGTTCTTCCGATTTCGATTCGAAACGATCTTCCCAGAAACTGGTCTCACGCGCGACAACGCCCCCGCGCGACTCACCACCCTCCCCCTCCCCACCAGGCGCTATCTAAACTCGAGACGTAGACACTCGACAGGGTAAAACGTTAATAATTAATTACCGTCGTTGCCGTGCCGCGTGACGGTCTTTAACAAACATAAAGCGTTCCCTCGCGGCATTTTATTACCCTCGCGGAAGACAACGGACCGAGCGATTTCGTCCATTACGAAACGTACGCGCGAACGCTGAATTTCGAGGACTTTCCGTGTTCGCTAATTAATTCGCGATCTTATCGAACGATTTTTACGGTGGTTCGATTCTGTCGCGATTATACAGGATGTTCGACACCTGGGAAAAATTTTAACGGGAGATTCTGGAGTCTAAAATAAGACGAAAATCAAGAATAGCAATTTAAAAAATTTTGAAATTAAAAAATTTCAAATCGTTCTGGAAAAATTATTTTTGGTTGCGGGGGTTAATTACAATCATTTTTTTGTAATACACATAACCCCGAAATCCTACGCCCTTTCGAGAAAAAAATTCCTTACCGAAAATACAATGTCTGACCACACATTGATATGTTTCACTGAAATTTTATGCGCATGTTTAAAAAATCATAACTCCTAAACGGATTGGAGGATTTTAATGTTTCAAACGGCAAACAACGCATATTTTAGTGAAGAATATGTAGAAATTTAAAAAATTTTGGAAAAGTTGTTCCTTGACCCCGTAAAGTGAGAAAAACCCCATAAAAGTGGTCCAATATTCAAACTGCCATAACTCCTACAATAGTAAAGGTATTTAATTGAAATTTTTTTCTGAAGTAGAGCCCATGGGTACCTACAAAAAGGTATTAAACAAAATTATTAAAAAAGAAAACCGAATTTTTAAGAAAAATTGACAAGGGGTAAGTGCCTAAATTTTTCGGTGAAAAAAAAAATTTCAAATCGTTCTAAAAAAATTATTTTCAGTTGCGGGGGTTAATTACAAGCAATTTTGGTGAATACATATACCCCCGAAATCCTACGCACTTTCGAGAAAAAAATTCATTATTGAAAGTAAAATGTCTGACCATAACTGTCTAGTTACTCTGAAAAAAAAATTTCAAATCGTTCTGAAAAAATTATTTTCCGCCGTGGGGACCAATTACAATAATTTTTGGTCAATAGACATGTCCCCGAAATCCTACTCACTTCCGAGAAAAAAATTCATTACCGAAAATACAGTGTCTGGCCATGAATGATTCCCTTGAAATTTCATGCGTATGTTTAAAAAATCGAACTAAAACTCATGAAGTTTGACTTGACAATTGAGAATTGTTTTAATTTCACAGTAAAAAGCTCAAACGAAACCTATATATGGATGGCAGTCGAAGCGCTAGAGGCGTATTTTCGTTTGGAGATGTCGATTTTACTGTGAACTCTCCGTCATCCTAGCCTCCCATAGTCCCCATGATACTTCCTATACCTCGCTCCTATCGTATTCAATAAACTTCAGCCGTGGTGTTCAGTGAGCCACTTTAAACAAAAAACTGTTATACACGAATCCGTTCGTAGCTACCAAAAACTAAGCCGCGAACTAAATGCCGCGCAAACTTTGCCGTCAGCATTGAGAACCATTTATCCCTGCTCTTGAAGCCAACATTAACAATGCTTATCTCGATAACGAAACGAAATAGACCTACAGCGTGTATGGCTTTTAATTCAACGCAGAATAAATCGAGATAAACGTTATTAATGTTGGTCTCAACAGCGGTGATAAGAGACTCGCGATTGTAAAGGCAAAGCTTTATGTGGCATTCCGGCACTCAAAACGTTTCGATTTTTACTGAAAACTTATTCGAATTGATAAATTATCTTTCGAATTTATGAATGTCAAAAAATTGTTATTAATCTCAATTCAAGAGAAGTTGACGCAAAGGTTGCTCGCGTTTCGAATTTTTTCAATTTTCTCGCGCGACGAAACTCAACGGCCATATTCGTAAACGATGGACGCAACATTGAAAGCTCCGTACGTTATCGCGAGCTGTAAAGAGGCAACGGGCCAGCCGACAGCGTTAATCGATAATCCAAAATAACACGCGTTAATACAGCAAGACCAGGAACCAACGAAATTGTCGGCCGTAATTGGATCGAACGCGGCTGTCGAATACACGGCGCGAACGTGTAAATGTACGATTCTTTGCACCGAACGAAATCGCCATTCTTTGCGAAACAAATTGATCGTTTGGTAACCGACGATTGATACACCGGAAACGGTCGAAAAGATGGAGTGAGGTTCAATTTAGAAACTAAATACAAATTATTGCAGGGTATATAATTATTAGAATCTTTATGCAAATTCGTATTTTTATTAACGGAATTAATCAAATGAGAACTTTGTAGAGGGTTGTCGCAGTCTAATAATCATATTAAGAAAATGAACATACGTGAAAGTGTTATCATACGTTTTAAAACAATGATTTCTATATGAAAATACTGTCTTCGATATTTATGACGATATCGACGAGTTATAATAAAATTACGTAGATATTTGAACATTCCTAAAATATTGAAACACACGAGCTTCGACCAGATTGAAACAATTGCCTGTGAACCAGGTAGAACGAAATATTAAAAACGTTTCGGATTTTAAGGGGACGAAGGTAACAATAACGATTCAATCTCGGCTACAAAGCACGAAATAATAATCACTCGAAGTTCGATGATTCCCAAAGACAAGTTTTCAGAGTATCTAATTGAATGTTAAAGTTCTGACGAGGAGTTTCTTCCTCCCGGTAATTTCTACAAGTAATTGAAAACACCCGTTCCCTCGAATGAACAATTTCAGGAGACACTAATGGAGGTACGGAACGCAGCGGTGTCCCCATAAATTTGCCGCTGAAGTAACGTGACCGTGAGAACGAATGGATACTAAAACTAGTCATATTTTTCGATGTCATTCTCATATTTCGACTTCGTATATTAACCTCCTCGCGTCTCTCGATCGCTTTGAACTCCCACGGTCGATTCGCGTGTATCATATCCCTTCCATCCTTACTGCACGACCGCCTATATTCTTTCGCGTTTCATATGAAAAATCAAACAGATAGAGACTCTATGACAGAATCGGTCGCTCTTCGTCGCGTTTATACCCTGATATTGATCAAATTCACGACGAGGGAAACTTAACGTCGAAACGGACACCGGGAAACAGCAGGGATCCATTTTATTTTTATTTTAGCAGGATCGATGGCATTATCGCGACGAATTATCACGGTCGATGTGCTCCGGGAGTGTCCTAATCTTTTATTTCATTGCTGGAAAGAGTTCCATCTCGAAGTTTCTTTCTACCCCCTCTCGCAAGAAAATTAATTTTCTTAATGATAATCAGAAGCACTCATTAACACTAAAACTACCAATGCAGTCAAAATGATCCATTTGTAATTTCTAATATTTATAAAAAAATTGATTTCCATTGCATTTTAATTTCTATGAGCACTTGTTAATGCTAGAACTATCAAAGCAGCCAAAATGACCCATTTGTAATTTCTAATATTTGTGAAAAATTGATTTCCACTGCATTTTAATTTCTGTGATATAGATAAATACACTATGATTTTTCTGGTGTTAAAAATCACGTCTGGTAATGGAACTTTTATACCGCAATTTTGCTTCTATCGTTTCGAGGAAAGATTGCAGTGTTTTTTTTCCTTTTTTTATCGTGAAAAAATTATCTGTAACGATTTACTCGCTGCGTCCTCGATCATCCGCAGAGGACTGTTCTAATTTTCGTCGACCAAGCAGTTTTTCCAAGCTCGATCGTGCCTAATCGTGGCTTCCATCGATTCTCTCGGCACCTACTCGCGAGAGGTGACTCTTTCTTGACCCTCTAGCTTTAACCCAGTTTCCTCTGCAGTTCTTACGTATGCATTTTTTCACTCTTTTCAGCACTCGAGGCGACACCGAGACTTCACAGTGGCCGAAAGTTACGATGCGTCATCGTCCAAGATTGACAGCGTTCCGATGACGATATCGCCGGCGATCGATCAATCTCCGCTTCCCGAAGAGCCATACTTCCCCGAAAGTGAGTGACGATTCATCTAATACCGTAAAAACCACGAGCTATAGTAGCGGGCAAAAGATTAAGACGACAAGAAATTTTTGTACAAAAAATAAAAAAATATAATGTTCTCTTTTAGTAACGAAATTATATTTTGTTCTCATAACGTATTAGACGGAAAGTAGAAAAACGAAACAAAGATAACGATTGGTGAACGACTTGAAACGATTTCTCTCATCAATAACTGTTACGAGCAACCGAAAAAGTTTATTATTAATACCTGAGATTTAACCAGTTGTGTGGGAACATTATACTGTAGCCACTATCTGGGTTTTCTGGAAGTATGGTTTTGATCGTTGTCCTGTTGGAAATAATATGCATTACTCGTGCCCAGTTTAATTGTACTTTCTGGCAAATTGCTCCGCAACGCGTCTGTATATTTTAAAGCAGCGTTTCTCAAACTACGGTTCGCGCTCGGAAGAAAGAAAGAAGCATATTACGTGCAGAAATAATGTGAAGAAGCATTTTCCACGGTATTTTATTCCGAGTAATCATCACGTTTGAATGCGTTGAACCGCCAATAATAAAACCATAAAAAAAGAAACATCCTCTATTTAATTCTTGAGAAGCAGTATCATTCGTTTTATTAAATTTCGGTTTGTTCAAATTTGTAATCAGTTTTACCTGAAAGTCAAGCGATAGAAAATTAAATGCATTTTCTATCAAAGCGTTCTTCCATTAATAATAATAATATTTATTGTTGGGCATTGATTCAATTAACAAACGAAATATTTTACTAAAGAAACGTGAAACCATTTAAATTAAATTGAAATTAATAGTATAAAAATACATTGTATTTTTAGTAATTATAACTACGCTCTTCGCGTTTCGCGGTCTCGAGTTACGCGGTAATGCCCTCATTTATGTTCTTGCGCATATTTTTTACGCGTGTATATATTTACATATAAAATAAAACTTTCTGTTCTTCAATTTTACTCTCCATAAAAAGAGTACGTAGGGAACTATTTAATTTTAATTCACTTTTATAACGAATATTACAAACTAAATGCGTTAAACTACCCAAATTAGTATCTTAACAATTTTAAATTGATAATGTCTACTCCATTCAACGATAATGCCATAACATCATATTTACTTCGGATTAATATTTCTTTCTCCCTGCAATACATTGTATACAATTCGATTAACGCAAATAGCTCCATGATTAATTACGCAAAAACTCCATACAGAACATTCCCAGTATTATATTTAAACATTTCAAATTTTCTCGCGTTTAATTATCGAACATTCCGATGGAAATTATTAAAGCTACAATAAAATTAAACTTATATACAAATACTAACAAGAAACTGGAGTATGCAAATATCATTTTTTATGCATTGTAAGTGGAGCTTGTTTAGAGATTGATAGAATTCGCGAAATAAATCAGTATTTAATAAAGTAAACAAGTACGTTTGTACGACTGCACATGTCACACACCGAGCCAGCATGTTTCTTATAATAAATGCTGAAAATAATGACCTTTCAGTTTGAAGCATTTTAAATGCTTCGAACACGTCCGAAATTGACACACTGATCCGCCGAGACATCTGTGTGGGCGTATGTTTGTTAAAAGCTATTTGTTTTCCCGATGAGTTCTATCAACCCCCAAAGCTCGCACATGTAGTTCGTTCATACCCTGCATTTTATACACTGGCGTAATTCGTGGTGCAAATGAAATGGAATTTCAAATCACATTGAAATTACAACGTGAAATATTTTCGTGCAGGATTTCATTTTCGGAGAAAATGGAATTTGAATACTTACGAGCCGACCAAATTGGAGTTTTAACCGACAACAACACTTTGTAAGTGCATCGAAGCACTTAAAATTAAATAGTCGTACAGTTGCACTGTAAAAAGAAAAAAAAAGAAAATGAAAGAACACGCATAGTGGCCATAACAAAGTGAATGAACGTTTTACACCTTTGTGCAAAATTCCATGACATACATCAACACACAAAGAATTTTGTAACTGGTCTTTTGCACTTGTAAACTCAACAAGAGCTAAGAATTACAAATTTCGAATCACTGCCTCTGATATATTTTTCTAAGTGTTTAAAATCTGGTCTCAACCCACCTCGAGTAAGAAATTTCATTGCAAACGTTCGACTTATTTTCCCTTCCCCTCGGCGCCACGAAACGCCTCGATAAAATATTGTAAGAAGGATGAATCTGCAAGGCGCAACAAAGTTGCGTTTTTCTTTTTTCTTCCGACCGTGACGCAGGACGAGGTAAAATTGAAAAGAACCGACAAACATATCCGCACGCCGGAAAAAATTAATGAACGCGTTTACTCGGGGCGTGCATTTGATACGGGCCGCCAAGAATCAAAAGCCAGGCATTCCCGACATTCGTACCGTGAACCTTTTCTTCGAGTTCGCGAATTATTCTAAAAGCGTATTTTCGCTTGTTCGCGCGTCGCGTTATTTCCCCCGGGGGACCGAATATCTTTTAATTGACTCATTATTCGGCAAATGAACAATTTATGGCCGCGCAATGTAACCGCGCAGAAGAAACGTAGAAGCGTCGCGTAACGAGACTCCTGGCTGGGTGGTAACTTTAATAAATGGCCACGGTAGAGATAGAAATTTCCTGGTCGGATTCACGGCGTTACAGATATTGCATCTTGAGAATGAAACACACCACGCCGGTGACAATCAACGCAACGACGATTTGAACGCCAATGGAGACCTTCGTGACCCTCTTCGTACAAAGAATCAACCATCGACCTAAAATTTACAAATTCGATGTTTTCTCTGATGCTCTGAACGTGTGATTAATTTTTGTTTGACTCGACTGTGAAGTGGACTGGTAAAAAATTAATAAAAACCTGACACCGAAAATAATTTAAATTTCTTGTTTGACACTGCGTTATCACGTTGTTATTATGAATGTTGAAAATAATGAAGAAAAATATTGAAAAGTCTACGTTTTTATTTTATTGTTTGTTTGAGTATGTTTCTTCACAACCCTGTTTAAAGACCTATAAATAAATATGCAAAATTTACACTAATTTAAACATACAATAACCCAGTTTCTTTCAAATTCGAAATAACTATTCTCCAGTTTAGACCATATTTAAAAATAATGATAAATATAAGATTAATACGGAATATTACTTGATTATAAAATGAATCCCCCCACTGTATTTTGACTATCAAAATATCAGAGATTTCGGTGACTTCGACTGTCAAAAACACAAATTTAGGTTACCTTTCGTAGATTTTAAAACCTCCACTGTATGTTTCACAATTGAGCTCGAGAAAAGGAAATTACATAGTCGGATTTGGCGCAAAAGATTACGTAGAGAAGGAAGGGAGAAAACGTTCGTACTTGCGGTTGATTCTTCGATTTCGTCCCCTTTTTTCCTCGGTTCCCGTCAGCGTGCGATTTAATTCTTCTTTTAAAAACTCGTTACCCTCTCAGACCAAATGGTACGTGGCAAGAACCACGTACAGAATGAGCCCGCAAATTAATATTATTGCAACTATGTAGAATATTGCGCACATTGCAAGCGAGATTGCTACAACGACGGGCCAGCTTGGCTACGTCCTGCATTAAAAATAAATATACAGTGGGTTGCAAAAGTATTCGCTCAACCAACCAACGAAAATCTACTGTTCCATGAAACTCATAATGTGATACCAAAGTTCGAAAATTGTATTATAAACCTTCATTATATCTCAATTTCATTTCTTGGGATTAATTTTTAAGTGATTTAAATTTTAATTTTATGACACCCTTTAATCTATTCGGAACCAATTAGATTTTTAGTCAAATTAGAACTAATTTTATTCCGTTCGAAAAATATTTCTTTACGTCCGCGATTTAAAATCTAGATTTTATTCAATAGCTCTGAATATTTAGCCAGGTGAATACAGCGGGAATGAAAGGGTTAAGATACGTGTATCGTCCATTGTACCTTGTATAAAATGGAGATTGCCAATCCCTGCTATTAACTACTGTTCCCGCCTCCGTATTTAACTGCGAGCCGGAGATTTTTTTTTATTATTTCTTCTTCTGGTTCTCCCCCAGATGAATTAAATAATTCAAATTTACACTCGTTGCTACATATTACAAAATTCCAGAAAGCTTCTGCGAACGCTAAATATGTTTCGGCGAAGTAGATCCGCTTTCGCCTATTTCGTTAGTTAATCCAAGTCTTCTTTCTGGAATCTCGACCGTAATAACCGGCTCACATAATCGTCCGACGAACTGTTTCCGTACTTATATTTTCCCGCAGTTCCGTGAAAATTGCTCGAACCACTCACGCGAGAGATTTGCTTTCATACGTTTTAACATTTATCTTTCACCCCTGTCATTTGACATTAAATTTCTGATCGATCGAGATTTTGACTTTATCGGTATTATATTTCTTTATCGTGTCACTGTTGCATTACTCTACAAAGCGATAATCGTCTTGGAAATTATTACAATTGAATAATCCAAGTTACCAAAGCCTCAAATGATAATTTTAAAAAGACTTTCACCATAAACTGTCCCTTGTTATTTAAATATAAACGAAATGATTTTCAGTAAATATCTACAGTGGACGATACTCGTGCAATCTACAGCGTGTATACAGGATGTCCACAAAATAGGCGGGTAAACTTTGGCAACGCATTATGTTCACGGTGAGAATAAAAGGAAAACATCGAAACTCTTTCGAGCTCCGAACACTTTTCATCTGCGGTGAAGTTTTGCGAAAATACGTAGGAAGTTCGCGAAAGTTTGATCTCAGAACGGATATTGCACCGCTTCCGCTTCATACGATATGTCGAGCCGACTTATCTGATCGCAACACATACTCTTATTATTTACTACAAACACAAAGAAATCGATGACAATGGAGAAGAATGCTATTCCTCCGCGGAGCACGTGTTCTAACGTTTCGCTACAAAGAATGATACATTGCTCGCGTACATTATAACTCGATTATAAGCAGATTACAAAAAATTAAAACTTTTTAATTTTTTATAATCACCTTCCCCACTTTTATCTTTGACCTTCGCGAGCATTGTTGCTAAACTTCACCGTGGATAACAAGTATTCAGATAAAGAAAGCGTTTCCGGGGTTCGCGTTTACAGGGTGTTTCTGAAATAAGTAGCCAAAGTTTAGGAGCATATTCTGCTCGTAGTGTGGAAAAAGTTTCGTGCAAACTTGGCTCCACAAACGCCACTCCGTGTTATAACGATAACCAAAGTCTGTTTAAGACAAACTTGGACACGAATAACTGTCAAATTGCAAGTTTTTATTTTGTTTTCGTTGTGGATAAAAATGGTTAATAAAATTTCTTCTATTTAAAAATAAAGTAAGTGCTGTTTCTTACTGGAAATTCTGACATTACTTTCTGGTCAATCCCGATATTATTACGACGCTTCGAGTGTGTATACGCGATATTATTACGTACGAATATTTTTCATCCCTATTTCGTAGTCTTTTCCACGAAGTCGGAACGCTGATGTTTAGACTAAGTCGCTATATTCGGGGCGCAGCTGGTCGCACATTGCATAACATCATCAGAATTTTCCAGTAAGACTTGCATAGGAACGTACTTTTCCTACCACTTTTCATACGGACTTTTCGGGTATAAAAGCAGCAGCTGCGAAGACCAGTCAGATTAATTCGGAGGAAAGTTTTCGAAAGGGCGAGAACGCTGCAAGATCGGGCACCCGAGTTCCATTCGAGCATATAATAATTACGTACAGTACGTTCAATTACTGTTATACCAAATGGATGGAAGACCAGCTACGCGAACGTCGTTTTATTAAAAATACATTCTGTTTCATCGTACGTTCTAACAAGAAAATTTGAAAGTTGGATTTCTTTTCTAATTTTTAAAATAAATTAAACTCTCGATTGATTACATCTGTTTCGACCATACTTTTCACAAAATGAATACTTTTTCAGAAACATAAAGAAAGAGTTTGGCCCATGATTTCGACCCACTGTGTTTTACACTTATTACGAGTCGATGTAATTCGAGAGACCTTTTATATTTAACGATAGTTTAAAAGGACCCACACTGATATACTTTTATCGCTCGAACTACGTCAGTTTAAAGTTACTAAGGCTTACCTATTCCATCCTGGTGGCTGCTGGTGTTAGCCAGACACACCGATTCGTCTACGAAACCTAACCATCTTGTGGCTTCCGGTATTAGCCGTACATCAGTTTGTCCACGAAAACAGTCTCCATTTGAGTGGCTCCCGGTATTAGCTGGACACCGGTTCGTCCATGAAAATTAGCCTATTCCGTGGCTTTTGGTGTTAGCCATACATCAGTTTGTCCACGATGCTCTATCCTCATCCAGTGACACCTGATCGTCCACAGACTCGAAACACTATATATTAAAATCTCGATTATAGCAGGAAAAATGACGTGCCTCGACTCTATCACATTTGGAGTACGAATAAAAATAACTGAACGTACGAAAAGAAAGAAATTACACGGATTCGAGTAAAGAGTTTCGCTATTTTTCAGCTACCTATACAATTTTCTTCGACGTAATTTAAAATTCTCTCATCGAGATTAATAGATCCGATTGGTCTACTATCGTCCGACACTCGTTTTTAAAATGAACCTGTGCTCGAGAAGCGTTCGAATATCCTCTGAAACGTTCTCTTGTCTGGCAGACGTCTATTGGGGAAACGATTTGCATACAGATGCCTTGCTTCGGTTGAATTATATTCAGCAAGTCCATACATCAAATGGATGCCTGCTATTTCCTGCTTTGAATAGTTATTCGTTATCTCTTCTAATACGCGGCTGGATGAATGAATTGCGTATCGAGTGCCTTCCTCAAGAGTATAAACAAGTTTCGAACGGAACAGTCAACAAGGTCGAGAGACAACACGAAATTATCGAAGTACGAGTAACAAACAGCTCGGTAAAATCAGTTAAATTGCTCGAGTTTGCGGTTAATAATTACCTCGATAATTACGTAGAAGTAACTTGCGAACAAAGTTAAATAGGGTACACGTTTGTATAAACTTTTTTCATTATTTCTACGTACGTTACTCACCGTTGAATTAGGTGTGACGCAGAACCACGACCTTGGACGCCGACAAACGCTTCTAAAATTCTCCAGACTCCTGTGTACCGAATTCTGGAACAAAAATTAATGTTTAATTACTGAAAGAACGCAGTCGAGTCTGAGAACTTAATAATAATAGTTTCACTCGTTGCATCGACGAGTGGGAGAAATGGTCGCTGAGCAACAAGTAAAGAAACGCTAAGTAATAGAGAATAAGAATCGAGGCGATCGAGGTTCTACTGTATTTTTATTACAAATATTTGCTGCCACGAAGACAGTATAAAGCGAATATAAATGGGTAGTGGATTCTCGGGAATTAATTACCTTGTTAATTGACTTGCAGAGTTGGACAAATGATGAGCAGAAGATGTGCACGATTGGTTATAGTGAATTACGCGCAGACACTTTCGATTGTTGTTTATTACTCGTCGAAAAGGTCGCGTCGAGTGAGCCCAAATCGTCGAAGGCCCAATGGGCGACAGGTAGGGCTCTGGGATAATCGTCTTTCCAACTCTGCACTTTCAGCTCTCAAGAATAATAATAAAATATTTTTTTGTCGAACGTATATACTACTATTAGTAGTTTAAAACGCCATTAATGTTATTTAATTTGTAATGTTGCGAATAAACTAAACCTAACCCAGACCTAACTCAGACCTAAATTACAAATTATAAATATTAAATTAAAATTACCTGTTAACCGACTACATTTATTGAAAGAAAAAAACTAAAAACTTAAAAACTTTGTAGCAAATCATACAATCTACTCGTTTGCATATTAATTCTATGGTCTCGTGTCAATTTTGCGATCGTTTAAACTAAACCTAACCCAGACCTAACTCGGACCTAAATTACAAATTATAAATATTAAATTAAAAATTACCTTTTAACCGACTACATTTATTGAAAGAAAAAAACTAAAAACTTAAAAACTTTGTAGTAAATCATACAATCTACTCGTTTGCATATTAATTCCAAGGTCTCGTGTCAATTTTGCGATCGTTTCGAGAATGTGACACGAAATTTTAGATTCGAATGCCACGTTGCAAACTCGGAATACCGAAGATAACATAATTTGGAATATTCCAAGGCATTCTCTTCCGCAATGCGAATTACAGCGAAGACAAAAGAGGAGAAGAGTGGGTGAAGTGTTTCATGCGCGAAACGTGGGCGCACTGTGAATGTGATGGTTATGACTCCGGAATTTGCACTGAATTTGCACCAGTGACTGGCGCAAGTGCATTTTAAGACTTTGAATTGATATTTACTTTAAGGTACAAAAGAATGATTAATGTAGAAGCTTGACTTAAAATTGAGAATAAATAGTTTGAATGTCTAAAGATTATTAAATGAATTTTATTTGTAGAGGTTTACTCTGTCGTTCGAAACAGTCTGATGTAACATTTGATTGTAATCGAGAATAATCGTCGGCGATATCAAGCATCTGAAAGTAATGGAATTTGTGTTAACGCACGTGACGTTTCATTATCATCCCCGATATAATTACTTGCTGCTTTGTTGTGACTTTCGCGCGGGAAAATGGGGGCTGATTAATGAGGATCGCGAGCGGGCGTATTAATTACACCAATCTGCGCGTATAGAATATTTACTCTTTTATGTAAAGCGCAACACGCGACAAATGCGTGTGGGCAGATTTATCTGTCGTCGCTTAATCGAAAATTCAATGCGTTCGACGCATCGTTTCGCACAAACGCGTGTAACGTACATTATCTCTGAATCGAATACAACTTCCTTATTCATTTCAGTATACTTTTATCAAAGTGTAGAGATCCCTCTAAATAAAACATTCGAGCATCGTTATGGATACGTAATCTGTGAAAAAGAGAATTACGATGCACGAGTTACTTTAATTCCACGCGAAAGTGAACACGGAATAAACTTCATTCCTGCTGTCGACACATAATGTATCGATCACGATAAAAAGAACATAAGCATTTGTAACAAAAAAAGCACTATACGTCGTTCCTTAAGAGTTCCTCTATAAAATGTATATTTATTTCAAGGCGCCAAGAGTAATGTTTTCAGAGATATCAAATACTGAAGACTCGGACTTCGCTTTGTATTATTTCTTCTCGAGTATACTTGACATCGTTCACACCTTTTAAATACACACTTGACAAAGAAAAGTTTCAAGAATAAGATTGACGTTTCGTACCCTTTTTAAGTGACAAACACGATGAAAGAATTTAAAACAATGCATAGTCTGATACAAGCACACGTTTACTTATCTTTTTCTTACAGTATATGTACAATGAATCTTTCAATATTCACTGCTGTTCTTATTGTTTGTTTTCTGAGAAAAATATGTAGTCTATTTTGTCTACCACAACTGACATGATTATTAAAATTCCACTATCTTACTATACGTCTTCAAACAACGCGTATTAAGAATAGTATAACTTTAGATGCGTGCAGTTTCGATACTACTAGTGTTTTATTAATAATTGAACCACTGTTGGCAGCGGTGAAGCTTCCCCTTTGAAGTGGTTTTTCGTTTTTGTCGATCCGACTTCCCGTTTCGGAGATATCGTAATTTATGTAAAAGGTAATTTTTCAAATTCCACTCTCCGTCTGAGAAAAAGCTTATTAAAGCGTATTAAAAATACTAAAACTTTAGACTTGTGTAGTTCCGAAACTACTAGTGTTTTATTAATAATTGAGGCATTGTTAGAAGCGATAAAGCCTCCCCTTTGAAATGGTTTTTTGTTTTTATCGATCCGACTTCCCGTTTCGGAGATATCGTAATTTATGTAAAGGGGTAATTTTTTTAATTCGACTATCGCTGTCTCCGTCTAACGCGTCGGATCTCTCTCTCGCACGTGCATCGTGCTGACCTACCCCAATTTACTATTTACTACGAGTGCGTACGTGACGGCCTTGCCAAGGCCGTTGCATTTCCAAGAATTTCATCGGCCTCGCGACGTCATCAATGAAAAGTAAACAAACGCTTCGAACCCTTATATCTCCGGAACTAACCATCGCATCGACTTGAAACTAAAATCGCTATATCTCCGGAACTAATTAAGCTATCGACTTGTACGAACGCTCATTTTAAAGGGCTTTTCATACTCTATCTGATGACTATACTAACTGCTATAATTTATGCTATCTTCTATGTTTATTTTGACATTTACTTAGACGCTCGACTTGAAACAAAAATTATCATATCTCCGGAACTAATTACGCTATCAACTTGTACAAACGCTCATTTTAAAGGGCTTTTCATCCCCTATCCTATGAATATACCAATTACTATAATTTATGCTATCTTTTATGTTTATTTTGGCATTTACTTTAACCCTCAACTTGAAACGAAAATTGTCATATCCCCGGAACTAATTACGCTATCGACTTGAAACAAATTGCATTTTGAAGAGCTTTTCATCCTCTATCTTATGCATATACCAATTACTATAATTTACACTATCTTCTATGTTTATTTTCATATTTACATTAACACTACAAAGAAGTTTCAACAATTCATATTAATTATACAACTGGTGTGGAATAAAACTGAATTATAGATTGTTTCTTCAATTGAAAATGAATATAAATTTACAGGATGTTTACATAATTACTAGCTAGCAGTTTTTTTTTTAAACAATGTTTTTCTCCGGAACTACGATATCGACTTGAAACAGAATTCCTTTTTCAAATGCGTTTTATCTTCTATCGTAACAGATTTCAAGCGTCTTGAAATTTAACGTGTTTCGAAGTAACAATGAAGGAAACATAATTTCTCTGTCACAGTTGATCCCTGCGCGAAGAAATATTGCGGGCCCGGAAAAGAATGCGAACGTTCACCCAACGGTACCGTGGCCCTGTGTGTCTGTGCACGAAAATGTCCACGAAGACATCGACCTGTTTGCGCGAGCAACGGGCAGATCTACGCTAATCATTGCGAGCTGCACAAAGCTGCATGCAACGCTGGATCACCGTTGACCAGAAGCAGACTCATAAGATGTCTACACCACGGTAAGAGCACGAACAAAACACGCATGTTTAAAAAATCATCAAACTTTCAAAGATATACACAGATAAGTATTTCACAATTTTTTGTTGTTACAAAAATTTACTTTCAAGGATGAAAACTAGCCCTCGAATATTCGCCTGTTTTCTATTATTATAATTCGCAAACTACACAAGCTAAACACAAGTTTTATACATATATACTATAATAGAACCGAAGAACCGAAATAAGAAAAAATTGAATGAATACGAGTCGCGTACGAAGATTTTATCCTGTCAGATGGAACGTGAAAAATAGCACCGGTGTAATTAAACTTTTCAGATATCGAGAACGCGCACGCTCGGAGGACACTGCACGTGAACCGGACGTCGGCCAAGACTGAGGACATCATCTCTTATCCACGATCCAGGAACAGAATGAAAGATGACTTGAAAGATAACTTGATCCCGGAGAAGGACGATTTGGACTCGAAAGAGTGCACGAACCAAGAATACGAAATAATGAAGGTATAATGTGATACGATTTTTAACAGTTCGTCCTTGTTGCGCCAACACGACGAGATTAAATACTTTCACTTTTGATTAAACGTCGTGGATCCAATAACAACTTGTTCTCGCTCCAGGATAATTTGTTGCTCTACAACCATGCAAGACTAATGGCCCAAGACAACCACAGCAAGGAGTACCTTGTCAGTATAATGTTTTCACATTACGATCGTAATAACAATGGGAACCTTGAACGCGAGGAATTGGAACAGGTACTTGTTCTCACCGCGATTTTATCTATCCAATAGATCTCTTATTCCGAAATCGATGGTTAAACCTTTCCGCGCGATAATTCTTGTCGTCCAGATCGCGGAGAACGAGGATTTAAAAGAGTTATGCAAAGGCTGCAGTCTGGGATACATGATCAGTTACGACGACGCGAACGGAGACGGGAAATTGAACGTGAATGAATTTTACATGGCGTTCAGCAAACTGTACAGTGAGTACACCTTTCTTTCTCCTTATTAATTTAGGCCTATCAGACTGCCAATGATTCTCCAAGTAATTGATATCATAAAACAGTGATTTTCTCGATTATTCATTCTCGTGTTATACTCGGTTAATTAGCAATGACTGTGCCTAACAAAGGCCTTCCCTGTATTTTCGACCGTGTTTCAAATGCAAAAACAATATCGCATATTAATATAATATTATTTAATTAAGAATTTGATATAGTGTTTTCTTTTATATCCATGTATACGTGGAACTAATCAATTGATGTATAGGAAGCAGAATTTTTAACGAATGTTACGAAGGGATGTTTCTAATATAAATACCCCTACACGCCATTAATCTCTTAATTTTTTATTTGTATCGTGAAGGAGCAAATAATGGTTTCTGATAATGCATTATTCATGGAATAATGAACTGCCAACGATCTATATATTTTCCTGCTCCTAACAAAAGCCACGACAAAAGTTTTCCGGGAATATTACACTCCATTGTTTTCTCGCGGAGCCATTGAAAGCCGCCAGAGGTTCGAAGTATTATTCTTTTTTTTTTTTTTTTTTTTAAACCAACGCAATTATTTGTAGGCGTTTCAGTGGTGTCTCTCGACAAGTCTCTCGAAGTGAATCACATATCCGCGAGAGTGGGCGATAACGTTGAAATCAAGTGCGATGTCACCGGCACACCACCACCGCCATTAGTGTGGCGACGCAATGAAGCCGATCTGGAAACTCTGAACGAGCCTGAGGTACGATCAGGAAGCGTTAATTATTCGAAAACTAAAATTTACTTGAAAACGAGTACAGAAGATTATTACGAAAAATGATTATTATAAATGAAACTCATTTTTATTATTATCTGCTGCATCTTCGCGCTTACTTTCATATAGATTCGTGTTTTCAACGACGGCAGTCTCTATCTGACGAAAGTGCAACTGATGCACGCTGGGAATTACACCTGCCACGCGATCCGAAATCAAGATGTCGTTCAAACGCACGTGTTGACAATATACAGTAAGTTTTTTAACACTGTGACTGTCGACGATTAATATCTACCTTTTTCTACCAAGTCAAAATCACCTGTTCCTGCAAAGAACTAGTATCAAGACGCAACATTGTTTCCTTTATAGACATTTGCTTCAAACTAAACCAGACGTAGATCATGTTTATACAGCGTGTAAATTCTGAAATGTATTTAATTTTTTAAAAAAGTATTCTTATGAGAAACTTCTGAAATTCTGACCCTCTTGGTAGATCTAGTATTAATACATGTTATCTGTGCTTAGCTATCCCCGAGGTAATAGTAACGCCGCGGTTACAATCGAAACGCTTGAAGGAAGAGGCGACCATAAAGTGTCACGTCGCCGGTGAGCCGCTCCCGCGGGTGGAGTGGCTCAAAAACGACGAACCTTTAAGCCACGACCAACCGGACAAGTACGATCTCATTGGAAACGGCACGAAACTGATCATCAAATCGGTCGACTATGCCGACACAGGCGCCTATATGTGTCAAGCTAGCAGCGTCGGTGGTGTCACCAGGGACATCAGTAGCTTAGTCGTTCAAGAACAACCCACGCCAAGTAAGTCGCTATCAGGACGCCATCTTATTTCAAGGGCCATCTAAAACTTATTAGAAGCGTGCAAAAGTTTTCATGATTTCTATCAGAGATTTCGTTCGTCGTCATACCATCAGTTTCTACTACCTTTTACCACTATTCTAATAAGAACTAAACACTGTGTTCGTGTTGTGATACTTTGTACGGTTATACGACTGAATATGTCCATTATAGAAAATAAAAGCGAAATTGAAAATTTAATAAATTTAAATAAAGCGTGAAAAATTAATATACAGAGTGTTTGGCCACCCCTGGGGGAAAAATTTTAATGGTAGATTGTAGAGGCCAAAATAAGACGAAAATAAAAAATTTGTTCATTGAAGCTTCTGCGAACAGCTGCGTACGCGTGATAGTGATTCTCACTCAGAAAATTGTACTTGACTGGCTGTCGATACGTCGATAAGTAGAGTTTCTCATGCCGAGTGAGAACCACTATCGCGCGCACGCAGCTGTGCGCAGGTTGCCTGTCCACAGGCGCAACTTTAAACGTTAATAACTTTTTAACGAAACCTCGATCAACAAATTGATATTCTTGATTTTCCTCTTATTTTGACTTCTAGAATCTCCCATTAAAATTTTCCCCGCTCGATGTTCAGTATTAGGACCGTCACAACCATCGCTCTAAGGCTACCATTAAACAAAGTAGTCAAATTAGTCATCGTCTGACAAGATAATCTGTATCGCGAGGGGTGTTGTAAAAACAGGAGCAGCTCGTTGATTAATTGACACTAATAATAGTGACCTCGTATCTAGCAACCGCGAGCGAGGAGCGCAGGTTCTTCTCTTTCCACGAATGGGGCATTTTGGTCTACGAGCCATCCACGTGTCGGCCACGACACGAGATCCGATCGACGGACGTTATTCCTGGGACTCAGGTAAAACTATTGACGTTTATTACTACAAAATCAACTAACAAATAATCGAGAATCTATCTCTATCTCTACTCTAACAAAACTCTTACGAGGCACGTATTTTCATACGCCTTACTTACATTCTTCCATTGCTATTTTCACTGATAGTACGCGTGCATGACAGTGGCTTCTCATGCGTAGACGATTACATCTGCCTCCATCCATTCCTATAAACATCTTCATCTTGCAAATTGCACTTGCCTAAGTCATTGAGCCGAGTCCACGCTTGGAACAGTGTTGATTTCTTTAAATGTAGGGTTTTCATTGATGATACACTCGAAGATGATTCTACATGAAAGAACAAATCGAAAATAAAAAATAAAATGCGATAAAAATAAAGCAATACAGAAAATGTATTTTAACAATTTTAGTGAACATAATAAACTTCCAAGTTCAGAAATATATTTAGCAACTTTATCGTACCATTTGGTCCAAATAAAATGCTACAAGCTATCCTCTCAGAAACCAATGAAGATATCGACACGTTTTTTTTTTTTAATTAAATGACTTGTCTACTGAACTGTGCGGTTTATTGTACCCAGGAAAATTCAATCGTAATCGACATTAATTTTTGTCTCTAATTTCTGAAAACCGTGTCTTAGGAACACGTCTGCGGAGTCAAGGATGTACCTTGCTCCTGGGGGCGCGCGATCAACGTTGCAAACCGGTACGTGTACGTCAGTCAACCGGACAAGGATCGAGTGCTCGTTATCAGCAAGATACAAATGGTTATAGTCGACGTAAGTAAATTGTGCTTGTTATTCGTTACGATCGAGTAGTGCAGAAAAATCAACCATGATCTACCATAATTTGCATAGGTGATACCCACCGATAAGAATCCCGTACAACTCTGGTACGTGGTCGCCCTCGATCAAGTGTGGGTATTGAATTGGAGAAACGAGAAGAACATCGGTGTGAAAACGGTACAAGTGATCGAGGACGCCGGTCAGAAGAAGAAACACCAAGCTATACGGCCGGAACCTATCGACGCCCAGTTCGATATAATCGAGAATATTTACATACCCGAACCACAGGTATGTCTTTCAATTATTGCACGTTAATTTAACTATTGTCACGAATCACTATACGGCTGTTCGATCTATTTAGGACATCGAGCACCCGTTCAAGTACGGTTACGTGAGTCACACGAACCAACGTAGCATGTACAAGCTCGACCTGAAGAACATGAAATACACGCGTATTGCCGATTTGAGTTCTTACAATTGTGTTCCAAAGAACGTCCAATTCTCGGTTCTTTGTGAGTAACCTCTTAGACATTGACGGATGAAGATCGACTATTATTATTAGAGGTTAATTCATTTGTGTTCCAGACGGTTTCGTGATACTCGAATGCCAGGAACCAGTCACTAATCGTCCAACGGGTCAAGTATTGTTGGACTATCTCACCGACACCGTTCTCGTTCATAAACCGAAACTGTTCGGACGGCCAACGATATCACCCGACTCTAGACACCTCGTCACGTTGGACAAGCAAGACACTGGCGTGACTCTCGTCGTACAGGAGATATCACGTAATTTGAACTCACTTTCTTACATTACGATCGACACAACGGTTGTTTATGACGATCGATGAATTCCATTTTTACTTCAGCCGAGGGGTTGAAATTTGCGTTCGACGTGAAGACAACATTGAACATCAGCGACATTGCACTCTATCCGTCGCAGACGACGCATGGTTACGACATTTACGCGTCATCTATCGACAAAGAGGACATCCTATTCCTCGATCTCTCCACCGGTAAGATACGAACATTGTTGACCCTCCGATAGAGCACTCTATTGTCACAGACGAGGTATACGAGCAGACCTTTCACCCAATGTATTTGTTCGGGACTCTAGAGCCCCATTACGAATTTCATAATTACCAACAGGTTACACAAATAAACACAAGAGGAACGTGACCCAGAAAATGGAATTACAGAAACATTCCTGGCCACACATATTTTCGGTAAAAGAATTTTTTTTCTCGAAAGTGCGTAGAATTTCGGGGATATGTCTATTAAGAAAAAATGATTGTAATTGACCCCTGCAACCGAAAATAATTTTTCCAGAACGATTTGAAAATTCTTTAATTTTGTCGAAAAATTTCACACCTCGAATTTTTTTCTCAAAAGTGGGTAGGATTTCGAGAGTATGTCTATTAACCAAAAATGGTTGTAATTGACCCCTGCAAACGAAAATAATTTTTCCAGAACGATTTGAAAATTCTTTAATTTTGTCGAAAAATCTTGTTTCACGCCCTATAGAAAAGTGGTCTAATACATTTTTATAGGTACCTGTGAGCTTTAGTTCGGAAAAAAGTTTTATTGAAATATATTCACTATTGTAGGTGTTATGGTCGTTTGAATATTGCGTTTTTTAATTCGTTCCAGTCAACTCGCATGTATTTACGCACACACTACAGCTGTCTGCCCATAAATACTAATTCGGTGAATAGTTTTTTCAACTGACCGCCATCTATGAGAAGAGGACGCTAAAATCATCTCCGAATTTTCAGATCGGCATGGCAGTCACATTGGATCACGAAAGTCCATTAGGTGAAATGTCTACTCGTACACCTCGTCTGTAATGGAACATTCTATTGTTTCGTTAGAATTGCGACAAACTTTAACGTGTCCGACGACTCTCGGTTTTAAATGGCCGCTGAATCGTTTGAGCTGAATTCGTCTGAAATATTTTCATTATCATTTACAGGTAAAGTGGAAATGATAACTGGCGTAGGGAAAGCCACACCGCCAAATTTCACCAGATGGGGAAACCCGAACAGACCAATCGTACAAAGCGGTGTATTCGGTAAATACATGGTCAGTCCTTCGAACGACGCGCTTTTCATTCTAAACGGAGAAACTCGAACAATAAATTGCGAGATCGGTGGCCTGGTACACCCTGGGGCAGTGGTATGGTTTACAGTGTCTTTACATTAACAATCGAAATTTTTAACAACGATATACAGAACGTCTAGATAGATAATACTAGCAAAGCACTGGAAAAGCGGTGACAACGAACAAACACCGTGCGTCGCCATATTGTTTGATCGAGAAGATAGAATAAACGGTTTTCTGTTGTTTAGATTAGAAGAGGAAACGGTTGAAAGAAATTTTGAGAAATATATTCTAACACCATTATTCGTGGTTATCGTTAAACCATTTGAAAATTTTCCGAGCACCGCTCTTCAATAATTATGGCGTATTTTTCACACCATCGAGCGAAAGACTTTGATCGTTATAAACGCGAACATCTGTCACGGAACATTACCAATAAGACTTTTTAATGTACATACATACCAAAGATCGTCTTTTACATAAATTTAATGTATCTAATCGTTACCCTATCGGTGGCCTTAGTTTCCCCTCAATTTTGCATATCCTCCATCTTTGTATCTATATATTTCTCCTTTTTCGGATAAATTTTCGATGGCTATAAACAGTACAACTAATTTCCCAGACAACGATCCAGGATGATATTCGTCATATCGTATCCGACACGAACTGTAAATATAAAAACACGGTTTCGCTGATACTTGAGAAACTTGGGGAACCGAATGTTTTTATTTACGACAAAGTTGAAATCCTTTTTAAACGATGTCGGGTGTCAATAATATATTGTAGCCAATCATTGATCCGTGAATTGTATATGCTAGCTAATTAAATAATTAGGAATCGAATAGTCATGAACTTACAAAATCTGAGTGAACAGAAAAAAAAATATAGTACAGTATAGTAACCTCAAATCGAGGGAAGTTGTTTCAACCGAGAAATTGAACCATTCGTCGTTTCGCGGCAATAACAATTTTTACAATAAAACGTTCGAACACGTACGTATGACGATATTATAATACAATTATCGAACCACAAACAGCACACTGACATCGGGTATGATGATTATGTATTATAACGCATGCGTGTTTCATCTGTGTGTGTGCGTGTGAATATATATATATATAACAATTAAAATGAATACCTTGTAACAAAATTACAACAAAACTAATTTAATAAATAATCTGCAAATACAACGTTCATTTTTGCTACACAATGTACATGCAGATTACAAATATATATGTTAGCAGTCTTGTATCCGTTCGGGTAAAAAGGAAACGATGATATAGTGAATGGTTACAATCTGTCGTTAAACGGGCATATTTTTAAGTGTCTTCTAGTCGTAACGTTCACCTTTTATTCGCTAATAAATTACGTCTGTTCAAAATCCTGGAGTCTACGTTTAATCACCTACTGTACAAATTCGACGTACATTTACGCTCTATAATCCGGTATAAATACGCTCAGTCCTTTCCAATTATTATACTAATGTACCGCGCACAGGCTCTGCTTTCACATTAAATAACACTGACGGCACGGCAATCGCAAGAAAAATATCCTCCGACCGAATTGTAAACGATCATCGGAGAAACGCACAGCCTACGGGCTAATGATAGTCGACAGTCAGCGGATTCACAGATTTATATCGCACACAACGTTGCACTCTCTGGAGGATGCTCGTAAGTGGAATTTTAAAACAGCGAGAAGTTAGAAAATGGAAGGAGGGGGAAAAGACACGAAGGAGACAGACCACGAGCGGATCACCAGGAAAAATAGATAACGAATTGTGTAAGCAGTTTTCCGTTCAATACGACGTAGTCCGATCAACACGTAAATGAAACACTTAGTCAACCTCTCCTTCAACTTCCAATACCCTTTTCTTATCCCCACCCTTTTTATCTCACTGGCACTTCTCCAGGTTCGCCAGGTTCTTCGATTCACCACTGGTTATATATTGCACGGTTTTAAATTGGCCCCTTGTCGACTATAAAAAAGTATATAAGCGTTGCTAAAATCTTCGTCCTGAGGTTTTTGCCTGCTCGTGATTTCATCATTGTAATAATACCATACATCGGTTCGAGGATTTTTCGCATACGCCGTGTAATGTCCAGCCGATACTCCTACGGTACCATTAAAAATATAAGAACTTATATACAGGACTCATATATAGCTCCTGCAAATGAACAAGCGACACGTACCTCCAAAGTGACATACGCAAGCATACAGGTCGTACAAGTGTCGGCCTACGCTTAAACCAACCAAAGGGAATGTGACTTTATCGTCCAACTTCATGCTAGCGCACTCGTAAAACACAAATCTATAATAGACATTATAGAAAGAAAAACAATTATTGATTTCATACAAACGCGTAAAGTGCAAGTCTTATGTTACCATATAAATAATAAACATACCGTTTCAAGTATACTATGAGGAACTTAGGGTATCTGTGAACCGTAAGTGTTTTCGTTGCGCACTGATTTCGTTCGCACTTCGGGCAAAACCAAGGATTGTGTTCGTCTAACGTTTCGCTGAAATATACATGAATTATAAGTAAAAACAATAATCACATAAATGATATCTTCAAAACAAAGGGCTACTGCTATTATTAAAAGTAAGATCTACCTTTGACTAAATGCTTGAAGACAGTCGTACAAAGACAAAGGAAGATGGGGCCTCTGTTTGCTTACACTGACATGGTCAACAGGAGGTGATATCTTAGGAACGTGTTCCGTGTAACGCACAGCCAACGTATCGCCATTTTGAAGGACTACCATCCCAGTTTCCGGCACACTACAACCCGTACAGTGTGCGGTATAGATACAACGAGAACAATGGTGTCCCTGTAAGAAATATTTTTTTATTCGTTAACTTCTCTTGTTTCTACGATTGGTCCAACTATTCGGTAATACATCAACGAACATAATAATAATGCTCTAACCTGGCCTGTAACAAAATGAAGCGTGTAACTTCTTTCTTGCGGCACGTTTCTCCTAACGATATCGTACAAGTCTTTAGCGTTCACTCTTGAAGGTAATCTCACTAAATGCGGATAACCGAAAAGCTTCGTCCCTTTACGGTTGTTTGTAGTTTCGTTTGTCGTGTCGTGCCGTAAAACCAACGGTACGTTTAAGATCCTAACTGCCGGCCTTGGCCGTCCCGTTTGATCTATTTTAATGAAGGATGATGCGGTCATGTACGTTGAACACACTGGACACATTTGAGGTTCCGTTTGATTCTTGAAGTAATCCTATAATCAATACACCAATAATGTACAATGCATAATACACATTATTGTCATTTGCGCTACATGAAATTCGGTGTATAAATTAATTAGAAATTTTATCAGTTCAAAGTTGATCTTTTTAAGTTACATTTATACAGGGTGCACGGCCACACCTGGGAAAAATTTTAATGGGAGATTCTGAAGGCCAAAATAAGACGAAAATCAAGAATACTAATTTGTTGACGAAGGATTCGTTAAAAAGTTATTAACGTTTAAAGTTCCGCCCGTACTGAATTTTTTTCTAGAAAGTGGTTAGGATTTCGAGGGTAGATCTATTCACCAAAAATTATTGTAACTGACCCCCGCAATTGAAAATAATTTTTTCAGAATCATTTGAAATTTTTTAGTAACTTTTTAATGAAGCCTCAGTCAAGAAATTGATATTCTTGGTTTTCATTTTATCTTGGCCTCTAGAATCTCCCATTAAGATTTTTCCCAGGGGTGGCCAAACACCCTGTATAAGATCCTATCGACTTCTAATCGTATCTAAAAGTTTGCTAGGTAACATCTTACTGGTGTTCCATTAGCAGGCCCCTTCACGTCGTTTAATCACTAACCACTGTCGTTACTGATAAGAAACATGTATAATTTTGAAAAAAGCTGGTCTTGAGTACATAGTACCCTCAGTACACGGCAGCCTCAGATTAGTCTGAATTGAGTTCCAGAACATAAGCAGTCTGGCTTGCGGATTGTACTCAAATAGCGAATCATACGGGTTTCCATCTTCCCGTTCCCAAGCACCTCAGCTTCAAACGAAGCTTCCCCGGCTAATTGGTAACGCAAAGCTGTTTCTGGTTCCCGCACGTATCCTTATGATACCGTCCGGCTAGAACGTACGTGGATTTAATCTCAGACCTTCCCGGGGTGAAATAGTGGTAACCGTGTACCTTGGCTGGTGCACCCCTACCGCTAGATTGAAGCTGCCGTTTTCATCATCGGGTTTCGACAAAAAATATCTTTTTTATTTACTATTTAACAACGCACAGGATGATTCTGTCGCCAGCGGATTCGAAAGCATTGCTACGAAAAGTTACCCTGTATAAACGGTAGAAGAAAACTCACCTCAATGCAGGTATCACACATAGCGAAGTTACAGCTCTTCTCGCTGTGTCTCTTCAAATCGCCGTCCAATTCCTCGAGGCAAATCGTACATGGAACTTCCTCCCCCGTAACTGTACACTTCTGACAGGTATCAGCATCCATCACACGATCTCCGCCACCGTCTGGCACTGAAGTGTACGCGTCAGGAGGTTCCGTGAGTTCAAAGGCGTATATAGATCGATTCGTATCATTGATGTGTCTCAAGAGTATATTGTCATCCTTAAATTTAAAACCTTGATGTACAATCCAACAGTGACATTTCCATCTAGTGCGATAAGCTACGGCAAGCAAGGTACGTAAGTCTCGATACCTACGGTGCAAGGGTAAAATAATATAGTCGAGGAGTTGTGACCAAAGACAGGCCATTAACAAGGGAATGGACAACAAGAGACAAATTCAAAAGTAGAAAGGGAAATGCAAAGAATGAGAAATTGAGTCTGTACGATGGACTGTAGCCTCGTAACTAAGTCTTTGCGCTACGAGAGTGTTCTTCCATAATGTATTTTTTTTCTTGGAGGGCAGTATCAACGATTACCGAGACTACTCGATAAACCGCTTTCTTCACCCTCCGTTATTGTCCTGTCATGAAAATTAAAACCCGCGCACCATGTTTGCATAAAATCGAAGAAAATTGAACTTCATTCCTATCAAAAGTAAAATATCTTCAATATTCAACACGAACACACACAAAGAGAATATTATTAAATTGACAATAAAATTAAGTATACTATAAACTACGTATCTATCGAGTGATTTTTGTACCCAGATTATTCTGCTATATTGTAGATTTGTATTGACAACAATACAAGGCCACATCGTGTTTAACAACCGAACAGAAGTTTCTTAAAATATGTACACATACACATGATATATATAAATTGATAATAAAAATATATTGAAAACACATACACTTTTGATAACCTCGACTATCGCAAGTACAATGGGGATTAAATTTGATATGCTTACCAGAATTTTTGATATATGATTCTCTAAAACTTCAGCAAGCGCGATATTAGTTACTGCAATGTATTCCTTATCAAGCGTTTTTAATAGTTCCTCCTTCAATTTCCCAATGCGCGATTGCTTGTTTAATGAAACAACACACTTTACAGGTTGATCGCCATTTGCGGGAACATACGTAACATTCAATTGTCTTTCCATTGCATGGGGCAGTGGCACTGATAAATACATAAAAGGCTCATACGTGACAGACACGTGCTTACATACTGCACAAACTACCTGCAATAGAAAAGGAAACATGAAAACCAATGTTGTTCCTAATTTCTATCGTACGTTACCGATCAAAAATTTGACGATTAATGTGTATCAGCAGAATGAGACTTGCCTCTGATGCTTCTCAAAGAAAGAAGGTATAGCTACTGAATTTTAGTGTAGGAAACATTTTACGGTAAATACCAACTGTTTTAGGCATTACTCCAACGTACAGTTTCCATACCATATAAAATATTTGATAAGATACTGTCAAATTTACCTTGCTTTTAAACTGTCCCTGGAAGGTATCAACGATGATACTTCTGTTAGACCTTAAGTGTTTTGCCCAATGCTTGTCCGCCTCGATCTCGTCCTGTGTCGCTATAGCACCATTTCCGTAACTTTGGGAAACCCGTGTGCATTGAGTACTAATACTTCCAAGACCATCCCGTTTATGATTCTTCTCTTGATCGTCGAGTCTCATACGTTTTACATTACACTTTTCTAAACCATTGTCATACTCTATGTCGGAACCGCTTGACGCGTAATCTACGCCACAATTGACTTTTTGAACATTAATTTCTTTTATTCTTTTAACACTGACGCTTTTATTGTCGAAATCGTGATTCTCCATTAAATTTGAGTTATCCAATGGCATTCTACGGAGATTTTCTTTTGGAAACTTTTGGGAATCATAATGAATCTCATTGTTACATTCCTGTTGAGTTACTAAAAAATTCGCATTGCTGGTTTTCGCTTCTTTATGAATATCGTATAGTCCATGATATTTGGGAACATTTTTCGAAAGTTCGATCAACGTGTCCAGTCTTAACGAAGGTGTAACGTCATTTTCTTTTTCGCCAACTTTATTATGAATAAAAGTGTTTGATTTTGCTTCGACAGTTTCATCGGAATCGAGCGTTTCCTCATCGTCGTCGCCATCGTTTAAAGGTGATCCACGGGGTGAATTTGCAATACTATCTAATTCGCCTATTGGCGAATCTAAATCTGAGAAGTAACATTAAGATTAAATAATCTTCTATGACAACTTCCTTTGGTGATTTATAAAGTTTACAATGAATATTTCTACCTCTGGGAGAACCAGCCATCGTGACATTCGGACTATTAGGGCATTCTGGCGATGGTAAGCAATCATACATTTCCAATAAATCTGTATTACAGTTGGAATTACTAGTGGCAGTGACTGGAGACATGATTTTCCCGTTTGAATTCTCATTTGAATTAATCGAGTTGGTAGTGGTTGTAGATGATGGAGTTTGACAATTTTTTGAACACTTTGCTGTATTCATTTGTTCGTGCAACGAGTCCAATAGAAGAGCAAGAAATTCTTGACAATCGTGCTTTAAATAACAATTGTTATTATTTTTAACTATTATTTCCATATTGTACTAGCAATTAAGTAATTTTATAAAGAATGAAGTAAATTCACCTGTCTATAATCTTTAAATTGTGAATGATATGCCCCTAAAGTTTGCTTAAATTCTGTTGGCCTGAGAACACTGTATCTGCCAGACCACATTTTTCCAAGAAGTACACTAAAATGTGCCATCAGAGATCCAGGTGGTGGTAGTTTCTCTCCTCTTTGCTGCAAATCCAAAAAGTGTCGCAGGACGGGTGGGGTTGCAGTTAAACATTGCAAACCGGCAGCCATAAAACAAGTATTACCAAGATTATGAAGACCACATACACCTGCACGTAAAACTACATCCTCTAAAAATCAAAAAAATGAAATCTTTCTTACTCGATGAATTTAGAAAAGAGATTCATTTAAAAATATAATTAATCCTTTTAATTTTATATACGACGTATAAAAATATTTACACCTACCCATTGGCGAATCATCTTGAGAATCTCCACCCTCCAAAAACAAATTGTTTACAGCTGAACCACCAGGTGGTAAAAATGGACCATGCTCTATACCAATCCCACTATCACTGATAGAATCTGCAACAATATCTGTGAAATCGTTTAAACCAGGTGGTGGTGGAAGTGGAATGGCATAGTCTGATGTAGAACTATTTGCTTCAGTCCTATAATAAAATTGAATCAACAATGTAATTTATATAATTGATGTAACAGTTATTAAAAATTGCATTAATAATATTGATTGTACCATGTGTCTTCTATGCCCATATTAACTTCAGATGAAAGTAATTTATCCTCTTGAAGAGTAAGAGTATGGTCTAAGGAAGATGTTAATGGGCTGAGACCAGTAGATTCTAAAACCTCTGATATCTCTGGGACCTCAGGCAGGTGAAAAATTTCAGACGATCCAATCATTAAAATATTTTCTACTTCTGAGACATTCACCTTATTGTCCATTCAGGTAATAAAATATCAAATTTTACCTAAAATCAGTTACAATAAAAGAAAAAATCCACAAATGGTCATAAAACTATACATTGTATTCATATTTCCTTATAAATGCAAGCATATTCTCTTTATTAATTTTATTTATATCTGAACAGTTTTCTTTTTAATAACTTTTATGTTTAACCAAATAAAAGTTAAAACAAACTTATAATTTTCTCAAATAATAAGTAGAATTGTAACGTTAAAGAAAAAATACATGAAAAATCTAATGTATATACCTGAATCTCATAAATTAAAAACTTATACAATGCTATACCACAAAAATATGTACCAATAAGACATGAAAGGACTTAACAAAATTAAATTATATCTAACTTTCATTTTCCTTTATCCCATTTAAGGTATAATTGGCAAAGCTTTATCAGAGTACCTTGTATCAATACTAGAATTAACGATAAATAATGTACAAAAAAATGTGTATATAATACAGCACATCTGAAATGATTAAAGTTTAAACTTTTGCAAATTAAATTTAGATTACACAGAATTACCAAACAATACTTAAAATCGTCCTAACCTAAGATGTCGGGAATGATTACCGCGAATTCTTTGGCGTCGTATTCGTGCAAGGCAGTAAACTCCTCGAGGAACAATTATTATCGATAACTAGATTTTTTACTTTTTAAGAGTATGATTATGTTATATTGGCTAGTACATTGATCAATATGGAAGAAACTGAATTCTGTAGTCTATAAAAGTACAACTAGACCTTGCCCATTCAAATCGTGATCATCCTGTAAATGTTACAACAACTCAGATTTCGTATAAATGTTTACGTAATATTACACTATTTTGCAATTAATACAGATGAGTAAAAAAAAAACAAAAACAAAATCCACTTACTTTACAGAAAATCCACTTTCTTCTTTGTGAAATATCTATACCGCCATTGCAGTAAACGGCATGGTCAATGGATGCGCAAGAAAAGGAAGATTCGCTTGCGGCGCTTCAGGAAGTTGGCATATTTTTCCATCCGCAATATGGGTACTTCCTGCCCCACTAGGGAAATTCTATTTGCGCGCCAAAAATTTCAAAACTCGACTTCATTGTAATTTAGACTAAAAAAACAATTTTATTTGTACATATACGTGTGTATAAATCTAAAAAATATATATATATATGTATATAATAGACACAACTTTGTACACCTAGTGGCACGGATTTTCACCAAATAAGGAGAAAGTTACCAAGTCCCGTTTCCCCTTCATTTTTCATGAAACGATGCTACTTGTCGCCAGGCTAAATTTATAGAATATAAATGCAACGAATAAATTATTATTTATTAAACACATATTATTTCATTTGAATACGTTCGTGTACATATCATTTCCATAAATTAAGCAAAATATTGATATATCCCATACAGCACATATAGACAGACCACGCTATATTTGTAGTCACTTTATTCAGTATAGTGCATGCTTTTAATTATATACAAATAATGTGACAACGGTCGACAGTTTATACTTCATTTGTTTATACGAATATAAAATAAATAACCATCGTTGATCTGTCATGAGAATTTGCAGTTAATTATTGAAAATAAGAATGAAAATAAAAGCGAGAGTAATTAAACTTTGATATACATTCATTCACGAATTAATTTACATTACTCAGAAATATTAATGGAAATTACTCTTATTATTCCGTATTCGCTATGTGAAAACGCTCCAATGCAAGTTTCTACTACATTGATAATACTTATACATATATATACATACACAGATAAGTAGAATGCAGTGTAGAGATCAACCACTACAGACTTCTGTAGCACATACTACGAAACAAATTCAATCATGTCTAACGTCAGTTACGATAATCTGTCATTCATATTTACTCAATGATAAATTAAACTATTTAGTACAAATGTTTTATTAATAGTATTAAAATATGTGCTAATAAAATGGAGTAGTTTCTGTAAAAAAAATGCAACGATAGCTAATTTTTAGTATAAATAAAGTAAGGTGACGCATTTTCTACACGTGAAAAATACGATTTTTGACGGAAGCCAATCAATTTAGATAGCGATAACTGTATCTAATTTTTAAAAACTTTTATTATCGCCAATATTATTTTGCTATATTATTAATAATAATATAGAGCAGCAAGTTTCTTAATCGCATTATTGTCCCTCCACATTTTATCATTGTAATTAATAACTAACAAGTGTCGTTGACAAGTATTGCAATCATAATATTATGTAGCATAATACATAGTGTAAATGGTTTAGTAGTATTTTACCATTTATATAAATAGCCGTCACATGCCATTTGAAAAGTTTATGTGAAATATTTTAAGGGGTATACAATATTTCACCATTAAATATGTCTTCGCCTGAACAATTAACTGTTGTGCAATCAAAATTTGTTTCGGGGGAAACTGTGATAGTTGTATCCTTTTATTAAAAGTAACATTGTTTCTTTTATTTCATAATACATATATCGTAGATTTCTGTACAAAACCTTAATCATATATTAAGACAATGGAAGCATCACTGATACAGGGTTGGGTTAAAGCTGCAAGAATTATAGCACTTCTCAGTAAAGGAACAACTCAAGCATTGGTTGTTTTAATTAGTTCTAGAACACCTCCTCAAGTTTATAGCGATCTTACCATAGAAAGAGTTTTACCCATTGACCAAGATTTTAAATGTAACATAAGTAAGTTATCTTTCTAAGTTTGTAATTGACTATAGTCGATTGTGTGTAATGTAAACTTGACATTAGAATTTATTTTTTATTCAATAAATATCGTTTGTTCAAAGACACAGGTGAAAAACAACAAGACAGTTTAGATGTTTATCTTAATGTCACATCAAGAAAACTACACTTAATATTTGAAATGAGGCCTGGAGTGGGAACTAGTTCTTTGGTGTCTGAAATATTTAGAGCTGTAGAAGGTAAGTGTGTACTACTGATTGTAATGGAATTTCATATTTAACTTTAATAGAGTTATTTTTCAATAATTCCAGTATATCAGAAAACAAAAAGTTCTGCATCAGAATTCTTATGGATTCAAAAATTATCAGGGAGTACACGTAACTTGAGTACCACCAATGAAGATGTGCAAGATATTGCTGATCCTGTTAGCATGCAATTCTATATTAAAATAATTATATTTCTTTACAATGAACGACAATTGAAGTGTTCTAATTTAAAAATATCTTTTTGTAGTTGGTAGATTTAGAAAGTCCAGTTCTAGTTGTAACAAGACGTAGCATTGCTTCTGGAAAATCTCCAGTAGCTGCCAGAGAATCAGCAGTGCGATATCAAATGGCATGCAAGGAAGACGATTATACATACAGTAAAACATTTCAGTCAGTCCTTTTTCTGTATAAATTTAATTTATTTTAATATTTTTCATCTACTGAAATCAATTTATTATAGTATATTTGTTGGTACGTGGAATGTAAATGGTCAACCACCAAATGGTATTAAATTGCACGAGTGGTTAAGTTATGACAAAACACCACCAGATGTATATGCAATAGGATTTCAAGAATTAGATTTAACTAAGGAAGCATTTCTTTTTAATGATACTCCAAGAGAAGAAGAATGGAGGTACTGAAATTCAATATTGTTTTTATTATATATATAATAATAGTGGTATATATAAAACATTATTTTCATAGACAAGTTGTAGCAAAATCTCTTCACCCAGATGGTGTATATGAACAAGTGGCCATTGTGAGATTAGTGGGTATGATGTTGCTCATATATGCCCTAAACAGTCATGTACCATATATAAAAGACGTATCGATTGATACAGTCGGCACTGGTATTATGGGTAAAATGGTAATATATATTGTTTTTTAAAAATAGAATTAAAAAATTTGAACATTACTATATGAAAACTATTTTAGTTTATTTAATCCTAATAGGGAAACAAAGGCGGGGTAGCAGTAAGTTGTTCTATTCATAACACGTCTATCTGTTTTGTCAATGCTCACTTAGCAGCACATTGTGAAGAGTTTGAAAGACGAAATCAAGATTATTCAGATATATGTACACGATTATCTTTTTCAAAATATGTCCCACCTAAAAGTTTTAAAGATCACGAGTAAGTATTCGATTTAAATAATTTATTGAAATGTATTCCAATAGACATACTTAAAACAATGCAATTTTAAACATAGCCAAATCTACTGGTTGGGAGATTTGAATTATCGAATAACAGAAATGGACGTTACAGTTGCTAAACAACACATAGAAACGGCAAACTATGCTCCTGTTTTGGCTTTAGATCAACTTGTTCAACAGCGGCGATTAGGCCGTGTGTTGCAAGGCTTTCAAGAGGCAAAAATTACATTTAAACCAACGTATAAATACGATCCAGGCACTGATAATTGGGACTCAAGGTCAATTAAATTAATAATTATGATACTCATATTTGTATACACATTTTACTTCACGACTTATAAGAAATGAAAGTATTGTAATCGAGAAAAATCTTGAAAATAGTCTTTTGCGTTTCTGTTAATTTATCATGTACAAATATATAAATTATACAGTGAAAAGGGCAGAGCACCAGCATGGTGTGATCGTATACTATGGAAAGGGGAAGCAATCACGTCAATTGACTATAGAAGTCATTCTGAATTAAAAATTTCTGATCACAAACCAGTTAGTGCTATTTTTGATTCTCAAGTAAGTACAAACATTTCAAATCAGTAGTTTAATTATTCATTATTTAGTTCCTTACTTTATAACTGTTTTCAGATCAGAATTATTGACATGACAAAGTATCGTAAAATTCATGAAGAAGTTATGAAAAAACTTGATAAACTGGAAAACGAATTCTTACCGCAAGTAATGGTTGATACTACAGAAATCATATTTGATACATTGAAATTTCTTGAACCTAGTAGCAAAGAACTTATTATTGCTAATACTGGCCAGGTAAAAAGATATTTTTTTTAACCTAGACAAACTTTCTATAGATAATAATTACATTGTTCATAGGTACCAGTTCAGTTTGAGTTCATAAAAAAATTAGGCGACGCTAGTTACTGTAAAGATTGGTTGGATATAGAACCCTTCAAAGGTTTTATAAAACCAGGTACAGTCTAAACAGTTTTCCTTTTTTCCTAAGGTAACTACGCTATTTTAAAATGTAATATCTATTATACTTCAGGAGAAAAGTGCGACACTAGATTCGAAATATATGTTGACAAAAGATCGGCTTGTAAGTTAAATTCTGGGGAAGATAAATTATACGATATATTGATTTTACATCTTGAAGGAGGAAAGGATATATTCATAACCGTTACAGGTAGACTTAAAATTTATTCTACGTTCACGCGAAATAAAAAGTACAGATAATATGAATTAATGCTTTCAGGTACTTATGAGAGAAGTTGTTTTGGATCTTCAATAGAAGCGTTAGTTCACATTCCAATACCAATCCGAGAAATTCCTATTGGCAGATTAATGGAACTTGTATGCAAGTTATATAAAAAATGAACAAAAAAAATTAATATTTTGCAAGAAAATCAATATTAGTAAATTCTTTTATATTATAGGAAAATAATAAAAATCTTTCTCAAGATCCATATGCTGTACCGAAAGAAATATGGTTATTGGTCGACAGATTGTACAGACATGGTATAAAAACTGCAGGACTTTTTGAAACTCCAGGACTTCATAGTGAGATTATAGCCATAAGAGATTGGTTAGACAACTGGAGTCAAGATCCAATGCGTATCCTTCTCTAAAAATGAAACTTAGAAGACCGTAAATCATTTTGATTCCTTAACTTTTACAAAGCTGGTAGCGTGCATTCTGTCGCGGAAGCATTACTCTTACTTTTAGAGTCAACAGCTGAACCATTAATTCCATATAATCTGCACAGTGTATGTTTATCTGCAGCAACAAATTACTTACAGTGCAAACAGGTACATAAATCAACGAGTAAATTATTTATAGAGAAAAAAATGTTATATACATAATCGATCATTGTTTTAATCGTTTTGTAGATTGTAATGCAACTTCCAGAGATAAGAAGAACAGTTTTTCTTTACATATGTTATTTTTTAAAGGAGTTACTAAATCATACTCAAGACAATGAATTAGATGCAAAAACTTTAGGTAAGACTTTATCGCGTAGTCATTTTGTATTACAATCAACAAATTTGTATTATTCATTTTATAGCAACATTGTTTGGATCGATATTCTTAAGGGATCCACCAAGAAGTAGAGATGATCGAAATCAAAGAAGTCGTACTGTTCAAGCAACAATTGACAGAAAAAAGGCAGCATTTGTTTATCACTTTTTGGTGAATGATCAAAGTGATCAATACAGTCATTATTCGCTTTAAAAGAACCAGCGCATTAAAAGCATTTCGTTTAGCTAGAAATAGTAATTTAATTAGCAACATTAAGAAAATATTTTGTGACGTTTAATACTTCTATGATAGTACTTAACAATGACGCGAACTAAATTTTTATGTCAACATAATATATATAAATAACTTGCCAATTCAAAAACTTATTTTGAACGAATATACTGTATGCTTGTGTGAAATACTCGTGACTAGGTAATAAGAATAGGTAATCCCAAGTTACAATCTCATCTAGTCTTTACAGCCTAAAATGGCTAATTGCGTAATATGTAAATTTATTCGTAATAATTACGTTCTTTGACACATTCTAAATTAATTTTATATTAGCTTAATATTATCATCAAGTGTTTAGAATAGAAACAATAATTTTAAGTTTGCATATAAGTAATTTTAAGTTTAAACAGTGTACAACATTTATTAACATTATAATGTTATATACATGCGCAAGATCATTTAGAAAAAACTTAAATCGGGAATGTCCAAACCGAGTTCTAAAGTTCAACCCTGCCCCTTATGTCCCGTAATCACCGATTCGCTATACGATGCGTGCCTACTATGAACGTCCCTCACATTCAAGAAAAACGGGAACGCGTAACTACGTTGATTTTTTATTTCCCGACTATGACACGTAAAAGGTGAATGAATTACGTAAAGGGCTATTAACAATATTTTATTTCCAGCCACATAATATAACAAGCTATGACATTTACTTGTAAATAAAAAGGAAAAACATGAAAACAATTGGTAAATAAGATTTTGGTGATGATTAATTTTAAAGATTTCTTTAAATATTTTCGATTTCAGAAAAGAACTTAAAATAGTAAAACGGTTTTAAAAATTATAAAGCGCATAATTCATATAAAAAAATACTAAATTAGGAATGGAAGAAGGGACTAATGAACATCTGGCAATTTTAATATTATGTATGAAAAGAAACATTAAATGAAAATTACTCTTGTCATGGAGTGTGCAAAACATAGGTAAAGAATTACAAAAAAGACAAAAAAAAACTTGTCTTTAATGTTTATCTTTCCTGATGAACAAGTGCAGATCTATTTACAAAACGAAGTGAAACACACGATAGCATATTAAATGACAAATAATTAAGAAAATTTAAAAATTGAAACCTTTTTGATTCGATTCAGTTGGTTTGAATTCCAACTGACCATCAGTTGTTGTAGGTGCTACCGTTGCTTCTTCAGTATCCTGTGAATAATAGTTTTATATGAATATTATTTTTTAAGAGTAATAAAGGACTTTTGCTTCTGGTTTAAGACAAGAACGCGTAAGGTTCGCGAAACAGGGACTTATTGAACAGTTTTATTAATAGTCGAATAATAAATTTTCGGAAAATTGCTTACCCCATCCGAGAAGAAAGTATCGATCATTGCAACGGCTTTTTGATACACTTGTTCTACTTCATGATGTTGAAGAACCTCCAGTTTGTCTAAACCTCCAACTTCTTCTATCATGATAGCTACACGTTCCACTTCTCCCATTTTTTCTGCTGCATTCAAAATATTAATCAAGCCGTCAAGGACAACAACCACAGTTTTCCAATCTTTGACTTCTAGCAAGTTACAGAATGGCACTAGCACTCCCAACTGTACTAGTTGAGCTAATTGTTGTACAGATCCACCAGATGTTAAATTAGTCACAGCCCATGCTGCTTCTTTTTGAGATTTAAAATCTCCCTGTATAATAAAATACAAAATTATTTAAAAATAAAATCACATTTACTACGAAACACAATTTACTTACAGACTGTAGAACATGTATCAAGGGTGAAAATAATCCAGCATTTATAACATGTTGAATTTGATCTATGTTACCAGCAGTGATGTTGCTAATAGTCCATGCTGCTTCTTTAACAATATTAACACGATGATGTTGCAATAATAGCCCTAAATGTTGTAAACCGCCTGCCGATATTATTGCATCTGTCTGCATATCATTGCCTGTAACTATATTTCCAACTGCACGAAGTGCTGGTGTCAGAACTGTTACTTCAGTTGAAGCAAGTAAATCCACAAGTTTTGGAATAACTCCAGATTCTACAACTGCTTGTATTTTATCATTGGAACCATCGGTAAGGTATGATAGTGCCCAGCAAGCATCAGCTGTAATGTTAAAATGTTAAATTATTTTAAAGTCTGACACATGCTTTAAAAATGTTTCTTTCATTTAGAAGTACAGTGTGCTCTAAAAATACAGTAATGAATACAATTAACTCACCAAGTATAACTTTATCAGTATAACTAAGCAAACGGTTTAACACTGGAAGAGCAGTTCGTACAATTTCAAACGGAGGTGGAGGATTTTTATTACGGCACAAATTTGATAATGTCCATACAATGTTACGCGTGAATGACACCTATATCAATAATGAATTTTAGTAATGAACCTACATTAAAATAAATGCACATTATACGTACAGAAGTGTCAGGTTTGATTAATTCTAACAAAAGGGGCATAGCATCATTTCCAAGAACAAAATCACGAGCTATTGGTCCATCTCCAGCTATATTTCCAAGTGCCCACACTGCTTGTTCAGCAACATTAGGTGATACAGACTTAAGCAATGCAACTAATTTTGGTATAGCGCCATGTTTAATAACAACATAAGTTTGGTCTTGTGTGCCGGAAGCTACATTCGTGAGTGCCCATGCTGCTTCAAATTGCAGTGCAGCACTACAAACATTTTATGATAATAATAAATAATTCGCGAATTTAAGTAAGAGTAAAATAAATTTACTATGTTGTTTATACTTGTGATGACAATCTAAGAATTGAACGCAGCGGGGGACAATTCCACGTCGTATCATAATATCTATCGGTGGATTCTTTTCTCTGCTCAACATTTTTCTACATGCTTGTGTCGCTTGTAGTTGAATTATTTCATCTGAAGATTTCATCCCAGTAACAATTTCATCTATAGATGTAGAAACAGGTGAAAGATTAGTTTCACCCGTTGGGCTTTGTGGCTCTTTGCCTATGGTGAGATTACGACGTTTTAATAATTGTTCATCTTTCCTAGCTTTTCGCAATTCAACTGATATTTCGCTTCTTCTTCTACGTGCCTCCTGTAATAGTAAATTATATAATATTACATAACATATAATATAAACAAAAAATACATTCATATGTACTACTTCTATTTAACATAAATAGAAGAATAGAATAAAACAATATTAAATAAGCTTTTATATTTCAATTATTTTACAGAGTTAACTTACTTCATGTTTGTAATTAAATTTAAAATTAGCCTTGCGGTTATGGTTATCAGCTTCTGGTGCAGGCATCTTTTCAAAAAATTAAGCAAAATGAGTATGTACCTTTATCTGTAAAAAAACGAACGATACTTATACGCTAATGTATAAAAATTACTGTATGAAAATTAACTAAATTATACGATGTTATATAATTAAAGAAGGTACAAATAAGTTGGGTATATTCCTAGCAAACGGCCCGTTCAACGATCGGAGTGAGTTATACGTCGTTCGATTCGTTTAATTCAGTACATTATTGATATGCATTTTATTAGCTGCGGAAATTCGTTATTTTTTTATAAACTTGTCGTAATATTACAGTAAAAAAGTAAGGTTAAGTATATTTTGACAGATTCACAGGTGGAAACAAGTGACTGTCGTTACTGTGTTCAAAATGCCAGGTAGTCAAATGCTAATTTGTTAAACATTTATTTAATGAAAGCACCCCGCACGGATCTTATGGAAAATGGCCCCCCATTTAAATTAGCTGAACTTTTGATATGATGTAGTTCATTATGTCTTGATAAAAAGTTCCAATGGGCCCAAGCTCGTAAATTGAACAGTTTCCAAGATACAGGGGATCAAAAGTTAATAATGGTGCACCTTATTCTAAACTACCACGTTTGAGCATATTTGAGTGTAAGAAGCACTGTTGTGACCCTGTGGGCCCTTAAATATTACCCTTTGACCCTCCTACTTAAGCCATTAGATATTTTATAAATCTTCCAAGCAAGGAAAGAATGATTTATTTAATCAGTTATTAAAAGAAATTTCATTTGTTTCAGTAGAAAATCAAAATATACCAGACTTGGATGATAATGAAATTTAACAATAAAAAAAAGTTAAACCAACGCACCGCATACAATAGTAATTTATTATATCGTCTACCCATAAACACTGTCAGAGGGGTATGGAAACATTGCTTACTGTTGCTGCATGTACTGTCTACGTATAAGTACTGTCTGAGTAGGTCTGGGTTATTTGGGGGGGGGGGAGGGTTAATTGTTGCGGCATATACTGTATACCTGACCGACTCATGCAAAGTCTATGCGTAAAAGAATGATTTTTATGCATACACGTTCTACAAATTCCCATTTGACAATGTAGCATTATCAAATTAGATCAATTATTTATAATTTGTAATATGAACATAGCAACGATAGTCACTTGTTTCTACCTGTGCACCTGCCAAAAAATGTACTTAACCTTACTTTTTTACTGTAACTTTACAAGTTTTATAAAAAAGTAATGAATTTCCGCAGATAATGAAATGCATATCAATAATGTACTGAATTAGACGAATCGAATGACGTATAACTCACCCCGATCGTTGAACGGGCCGTTTGCTAGGAATGTTCCTTCACGACAATCTAAAATATGTACATCATACAGTAAATCATATTTAAATAATACGCTATTTCAAACCTTCATCTTCTAACGGTAATTTGCAATTTTTTTGTACATAGTACGAACTGTGTTTAAAATAACTGTCAAGATAAAAAATTCCACTAACCGTAGATATACCAATAAATATTAGAACAGAACAGAAAATAGAACGTAGAATTATCACACACTTTATGAACTGATCGCGACCCGCGCGTCAAACGTATAATGGCTGGTTAAGAAGTTTCTTTGTACTTAGAACCTGTTACTGCTGATCGGAGGACGAAAAAGAAATTATTGTTTATCTACGTCCAATTAGAACCTCCATCTTTGTATGACGAAATAACGTATTGAATTATGATTGGTGATGAAAATAGCGACATTACGTGATTGGTCGTTTAACATTCAACGTTCAGATTTTAAATCTAAGTACACTACATAAATAGTCGAAACATTGTTAATTATCTTTCAGAATTTCAATATACTGTATTATAGTGATATCAAACAATTCAGTTATAATTTTTCTGATATTGTAGTTATTGTATATATTGACATTTCAAACAGCAAATTTGTATTTTATTCATTTTATTGCTTAAATATGTAGTTATTTTTAACGTAAACTTAACACTACAAAAATGAAAATGAAGTTTTTACGAATAGGCATTTCTTATTGAAAGAAATAATATTAACAATTTGTTAACATTGACATTATCATGACTCATTGTTCCTGATATTCTACTTATTGTTAGTCTTTATTAATTTGTTATATTATTATAAATCAAACATTGATTTACATTATAAATTTATGTTAACAATATTTTAAAAATTGTAGCTGATTTTAAGAAGTAAGATATTAACTAAAACTGTAATAAAGTAAATGTAAAATTACGAAATATATTAATGCAAAAATATCTGTAATAGAAGGAAAGTTATGTTACAGGGAATAAATAGTTTAATTTTATTTTAATGTACAAAATTACTCATACTGTACAAGGATTATATATATATAACAAGCATTACAAAAGAAATAAGATTATTGAAATATTATAAATTTTGATACAAACTATATAGTTTCGTTTAGTTATGATATTGTTATAAAATATTACAATATTAAATTTATATTCAAAAAACATTTTTATTGTATTGTCGATTGAGTATAGATAAACGTTTAGTATTTCATTAAAATAAATGCATACTATGATTTATTCATATGTTTTGTTAGTGTTACGTTTCGCATCCTTAAATCAGTTTTGTAGCTCAATTTACAACTTATACAATATAGATTGTGAAAGTTGAATATATTTATTAAGTAAAGTGTTTCACTGCATACTTTGCAATTATATTCATGTGATACATGATTCCACAGTTTTTTTAACAGCATCACGAGCATAAGGTATATAAGACAAGGAATACCATGTCATTGCCAATGATTGGATAATTATAAACAAAAGAGCCAATCCAGGATTTTTCAGCTAAAAATATGCATATTAAAGATATTACCATTGAAACAGAACATATTATAAATGTTTACTTTTTCTATACTCACATGTAAAGCTGCAAATAGTGTCATTGTGACTGAAACAAATACTAAACCAGTTGCAATCACTCTTGTTGCTGCAAACATCTTTTTTAATTGATTGCATGGACCCATTAAAAAGCATGTGCTACAAATAGAATAAAAAATGTTTTCCCTTTAAAGTAATTATAAACCTTACATAAAACTAAAAGGGTTCCTGGGTAAATAATTATACACAAATCTGTTGTGAAATAATTTTTATGAAACTTTTCTTACAACTTATTGGATAAATTCAATTATTCGTTTGATTGTGCTATGAAATATTTACCTCGTGTAAATAGAGTAGAGTATTAAACTATTCAGTTTAGTTTAAAAAGAGAAAGAAAAATTTATCTAATTGCTTTGATAAAACGATTAAATATTTTATTTAATGCTAATATAGAAATATATTATTCTACCTTGCTAGTGAGATGACATTTCCTAATGTATAGAATACAGCAAATATAGTAAGTCCTTTATTTAAGAATAAAGCGAACGATCCAAGGAAGGAGCATAGAATACCAACAATAAAACAAATAGCAAAACCTTTTATCCGAGTGGACCAACTCAACGTACTTTGGTCCATAACCTATAAATAAAATATTCTTCAATTAAGATTAAATTAAAATTGAAACATTAAAATTACTAATGATGAAAAAATATATAAATCCTACATAGTTTTTAAGTGTACATCCTTACCACAAAATCCACATCAGCCTTCCATTGTCAATCGTGAGCATTCAAAATAATTATTTTGTACAGCATAAAACTAATATGTAATAAAACTAATGTTATTAAAAATTAATTGATATTAATTACCTGAGTAATAATACCGCTTTCTTCATCACATTGATCATTGCCACTTAAGGCTCTCCTTAGTTTATCCATTTTTTACTTTAAATTGACTGGAATTTTCAATAACTAATACTTTATCTGTAATACTATTGTAAATTAATACAATATTGTTTCTTCATAAATACATGATTCATTTAAATGCTTAATTTCGATACGACAGTAATGATAAATTAACTGATATTAATACTAAAATACACAACAAGCAGTAGATTACGTGTTATAAGTAGTATAACGTTAAACAGTTTCCTCGTACAAAAATGAGGCGTATTAATAATATAGTACACTGTATAAAACAGCTATTCTTTTACGAAATTTTGTAATGCGGTTCACTAAATATTATTGAGTACATCATGATCTTTTCGAACATAAATACATTAAAGCATTTAGAATGTTTTCAAAGGCATCGAATGATGCAAATTAGAAAATTCTTCAGGTTTAAAATGTTCACACTTTTGTACTAATACAGGTTATCCGTTGATAGATGCAATGATGACACATACGTAAGTGTGTGGTTAAATTGTTTGTATTGTATATATAAGTCATAAATTAAATTCAACATATGCGTAATATTTATTCTAATAGGTAAAAAAAAAAATAGAATTTTTGCTGCCTGAAATTTTTTAATATAAATGACATTAACCTCATAATTATTTTCAAAAATTAAATATTTCATATTTGTACATACATAGCATAAACATTTATCATAATTTTGTTTATTATATCTTAATAAAACAAAAAACCAACGAATACAAAATTAAATAAAGTTTATATATATTTTACAGAATATTGTTCTATATTACAGGCATAATACACAGTAGAAAACATTCAAAAATAACCAAATGTATTTTGCAAATTAGATGAGATTTCATTAATATAATCTGCTGCTTCTTCTTCTCCAAAATCTCTTAATACAGATTCCATCTCAGTAAGAGATAAAGATGCCTGTACCTAAAAGAACATTCTTTTTAGCATATTTAGTACCATATAAAATGTCAATATAAATTATATTTTAATAACGAAATGTATAGTTTACATCAATGTAATTTAGAAGAAGTAAAGATGGACTTGAAGAAGTCTGTTGAATTGTATTTAAAACGTATTGAAAATTTAAATGTTTTGCAAGCTTCTTCCATCCTTGTGTTTTATCTAGAATAACAGATAATTTTTCTTTTCTTTCATTAGTTAACCAATTTGTTTGTAACTCCGTTTCTTCTGCTTCTAATTTAGTAGGAACCATGCCCGTTTCATTTGCAACTTCGTCAGTCTGACCAATAAGAAGCTGTAAAATCTTTACGAAACAAAAAACATGTTTTAGATTTAAAAGCTATATATACGTAATCTTCTAACACGCGTATACAAATAATATAACATAATTTACATCTGGTTTATTTGTAGCCAAATCAAATGATGTTTGTCCAGTCGATTCTTCTGTGTTTTCATTTTCATTTTCATTTTCATTTTCATTTTCAGAGTCAACTTCCACTTTTATATCAACGTGTGATGATTTCCATTTGTCCACCTATCAAATGTGTCAAATAAAATATATTCAATATATTAACCATTTTTGTGTTAAGAAATGCAATCTCGCACAATTTCACGATCACCTTTAACACTCAAATGGTTAAGCATTTAAAATCGAGTGATAATATATTCTTAAAAAAACGCACATACATCATTTGACTCTCGATTATGATTCTGAATGTGTGGATCTGCGCCATGTTGTATTAACAATGCACATAATTCTTTTGCTCTTACTCCAGAATATACAACTGCAGTATGTAAAGCAGTATTTCCACTGAAGTTTCTCTTATTTACAAATATATCTGTCTGCGATCAAAAAATATGTTCAATATAATTAATACTTTATTTTATGATTACATTGCTCTCATATATTTTTTTTCTAGAATTAAGTAAATAATTGGGTTTAAAAAAGTGACATTGTACCTTTGTGAGTAAATAATCAACAATGTCTTTATGCCCGCCTTCTACAGCTATATGTAATGCTGTTCGACCATAAGACATGTCAGTATTATTTACATTAGCTCCAGCTCGAACAAGTGAGCATACTGCATCATATGACCCTGCTTCTGTTGCAAGATGTAATGGTGTCCATCCAGCATCATTACAAATTTCAATATCAACTGTCTTTTCTGCCAATAAGGCATTAACACAAGCACCAGCTTGAGGGACTGGAATTTACATATATATGGTTGATTGAACTTTAATTCAGTTCCTAATAATTTAAATAAGTTGTTACTAATTTAACTTACTTCTTACAGCAGCATGTAATGGAGTAGATCCATGTTCGTCCGATCGATTTGGATCAGCTCCAAGCATGAGTAATGCTTTTGTAATTTCTGGTTGATTTTGTAAAACTGCATAATGCAATGGCGTCTAATAAATGAAGTGTTATACAGATTAGAATAATTACATTATAGTAATATACTTGTTTAATTGAATTTTAATTGTTAAATATTTACTTTTCCAGAACTATTCTGCCCATTGACAAGTGTTTTACAATCTTTATCAGTGCTTATCAACATTAAAATATATTTGACAATATCACGTTGGCCATATCGGAGTGCTGCGTGTAATGGGGAATCCCCATACGAGGAGCGATCTTTAAGTAACTTTTGTACATGATCTTTCATATTTCTTGAATCCATTTTCATACATCTTACAGCTTCGATAAGTATGTGTTTAGGGAACATTGAATCCGCTTGATACTAGTTAGTTAAAAAAAATATTAGAAAAATAAAATGTTAAAATCTGAAGAAAAGGAATACATACTTCCTTACACAATGGACCATCGTGAGCTAGCATATTCTTGTCATCTGTGTCGATAAATTGTTGATATGCTAGAAGAGTATACAATTAAAAGTATTTTAATTTATACAGATGATAAATTTCATACTTACTATCAAAATCCATATTTTCAAGAAAGTCCATGAACTCTGTTGATGAACAACCCTCGGACAACATCTCTCTTAATTCTTTAGAAATTTCTCGACTGTCGTTACCTAATATTCCTGATGTATTTCCCATTTCAGTATTATTAAAAGTTGATATTATATGAGATAATTCTGCACTTCCTGAATAGGACATTCTTTGACGTTTCTTGCCTGGAAATATATTATTTTTAATTCCATTTTAATTGTGTTGTAAACATTTCGGACAGTTTATATACATAACTTACCTATAATTCTATCACTTGGTTTGTAAGTAAATTTTATTGGTTCTGAACAATCTGCATCAGACGGTCGCTCTAATTGTATAAAAACTTCTATTGGAGAAGTAATATTAAGATCTCTGTATGGTGGAGTTCTAAACAAAAATGGAAAATATAATATAAATAATACTGTATTTAAAAATGATTTAGTTATTGTAAATGTTGAATTACCGAAATACAATTGCATATTGATGATGTACGTCCAATTCTGAAAAACGTCCATATGCGCTCCAAATTTCATAATCATCATCATTTACCTCAAAAAATTTTATCCGAATATTCTCTACAGTAAAAAAAGGAATTAATTAGAAAATGACGTAAATTAGTTACTTCTCTTATTAATTTCTAACATAACTTTTATTACAAAGTATACTTACTTCTTCCTACTTTTTCTACAAGTATAAATACTTCTTCCCCTCCTTCAACACTGCTGGTATATTTGTCAATCCTACATATTTTAAGCTCTCCTGTCAACGCACTTTCTAATAAATTACAAACATTTTTGTTAACATTTATTTCGTCAACTGTTAACTGAATATAAAATATTTCTTCATGTATGCTATAATGTCTTACTTACTAAGATTATTAATAGCATTTGAGTAAACAGGTTCTGTTATTGGTCTCATAATATCATGTTTATCCACAATAAATGCTTGAAAACATAATGCAACACTATTCAGATTCACACATTTTTGGTAGTATTCTGCATCAGCTTTGATCTTTAAAATCAAATGTTTATTAAGATAAAAGCATATTTCTGTACTTCTATATAAATATGTACTATAATAATTAATACGGTAAACACAAAATAATTAACCAACTAAAGAAAAAAAAGGTTGGAAACAAATATAAGAAAATAACGTACTTGTGCTTCTTCCCGAGTACTAAGAGTTGCATTTATGTTCTTGCATCTCTTTTTTTCTAAAGCATCCATACGCATCTTTCTTACAAGTTCATCCCTAACATGCTTCTTTGCTGTATGTATAATTCCCATACCATGAAATCTAGATATTATATTACAGAAGTAATAAAGGAAAATAAATTATTATTAAGACTAATTTAGTTAAATGTAATTTTATACAACAGATAAACAAGAAATAACATACGTTGCAGTGAATCCAGATTCACAAGAAACTTTAGCATGATGTGGATCATCAGAATCAGTGCCATCTTTTCTACACACTAACCTATGAGCATGACGTATTCTTTGACTTCCATCAGATGTAACCAGTGTACAACGTATTACTGCATTTTCCAAGTAATTATGTAGCTAAATAATACATTGAAATCATTTATTAACTACTCAAGCAATTCTTTACACATATGTTTCAAAATATTTTAAGTACTTTAATGGATTATTTTTTTTTGATGATACACATATACATACTTGAACTGATGGTGCATATTTCTTACGACCATTAACATTATTCGAAGCTGCCAAGCTTCCATGTGGTCCTATCATCTCTGATTTGTATCGAAATCTAAATTTTTCAATTGGTTGCTCTAAAATTGTTATATGTGGTTCTCCTAGCACTGAAAAAACTAAGTTTGAATATTCTTGAATAAATACACTACTAATAAAATTAATACCTTGTAATGATGATGAAGCTGACATGGGTGAACCAACACTTGCAGTTCCTTGAGATCCATTAAATGGACTACATAGACCTTGGCTGTTCATTGTCTGTAAATCTTTAGTACAAAATACATATATATATATATAATAACAGAACAAAAAAAAAATATATATATATATATATATATGTACTTTTATTGAGAATACAGAAAAACATATTACAGGAAATTTGTAGCAACTATAATATTCATACTTAAAAAATATTCTAACACAATAATTAATGTACCTTTTTATGGATATGTTTCTAAAAGAAGCAAACCTCGTAATTTATGGAAATATATAAACATGCTTGATAATCAATTTTATAAATTTAATTTTAATATCTTTTAATACTTTTAAAGTAAATAGCATCAATAATTTTATTAGACCAATAGCATTATTATTATTTGATTACGAGTTTTACTTCATGAATGTGTTTGCAAACTTGACATGTCAACATTACAATCAAACTGTTTGGCATGTCCACATTAGAATCAAACTGAATTATAGTATGCTAGTGTAACAAAATAACAGATATTCACAGCTGTCTTTGTTTAGTATAACTAATATGAAATATATAACGATTCATACAAGAAACATTATTAATAATTACCATGTCCATACGAAATATAATCCTGGCTTTCAGATCCATTTTGTAAAACCATATAATTTTCATAAACTTCGGGCATTGTGTATTTTTCAATAAGAAACTCTTATACAATTAAAAAAAAGCTTAATATTTAAATTATAATGAAATTGTTAAATAATAAACGTTAAATATTGAATTGTTATACAGAAACTTTTAAACAGCGAACTGTCACAGCATATAAGATCCTGAAGACGGTCGCGTTACTCACCAAACGTATTAACTTATCTTGATAGTATGTTATTGATTACAGAAGTAGGTTTTTCCCCGTAGACGTCAAGTCAAGTTACATATATATATTGTTAACTAATCATTCTTCACTAACAAATTCTCCGCAGATAAAGGATCGTAACAACAATTGCAAAGACCCTGATCATCTATATTAAAATTGTGTTACTGTGTCTTAGATATTATCTTGATTTCACACGACTTCATTAAATTAATATTAATTTGTGATTTGTGTAATGATAATATTATCTTAAATGATAATGTATTTAATCTCTTTTAATTTCACACATACATATAAATTAATTCTTCAACGTCGTCATTGCATTACGTGTAATACTGAAAAGTATCGTTAGAGGTAGCTGAATGCAAACAAAATGTCTGTAAAATAAATTGAATCATGCATGAATGGTGGGGTTTTATCTTATGATTATGTACATATATATACATTAGAAAGGCGAGTTACATACGATGATTGCTGACATCGTGTTACATGCTTGTACCTTACTAAGAAGTATACTGCTGTCTAGAGTGAACCAATTGTTTAATGATGTCGGTGAAGAATGAAAAAATTGGAATAGTTGGCAGGTAACGAACTCAATTAAATAACATTTTATTAAAAATACATATAATTATTTTGTTTTCTATATTGCAATTTTTTTAAAATGAATTATGTAGTTATTTATATACTAATGTGCCTACGTTCATACATGTAATTATATTTGCATATAACAAGAATTATTTATAAGCGGTAACAATTAAAATATAAATTTGACATTAAAAACAGAATCGATCAATTTCATAATATTAATAGAACCTTTTGTGAATAATATTTTTTAGAGATCAACATTTACGTAATATTAATTGATAAACCATAAGTGTTTTTGATCAGATATCTTTTTATACGTGGTAGATTAGAAACTTTTATTTTAATTATTTGCTTTGATTTTCCCGGAATAATTCAGTGTGACATTCCATTCAATGTCAATATAACATCCAATATTACCATTGAATATTAATCACAGAAAATAAAACTAAAAATTACATTTGCTTGCAAGCTGATTTTTAATTGATATTAGTTTCAAGAAATCAAACAACTGATGTTTTGAATTAGTTCACCATTGATAAGATAACAGCGAAAAAATAAAACGATAAATCGTAGTTACATAAATCTTTCCACTTGTATTACCACTTAATGCAATTTATAATTATAGAATGTGTAAAATATAAAAAATTATTTCGAAGATATAAGTTATAAATGAAAAAAAAACATAATAAAAACTACGATAAAATAATATCGATGATGAATTTGTATAATATTATTCCATTTTAATTATTATTTTAGCGGCTTAATCGGTCGCAGTTGGGCAATGCTTTTTGCTAGTGTAGGATATGAAGTAATTATTTATGACATTGTAAATGAGCAAATTAAAAAAGCCCTTGAAGATATTCAACAGCAATTAAAACGACTTGAAAATGGCGGCCTTTTACGAGGTGTACTTTCTGCGGATCAACAATTTAAGCTAATCAAAGGTTTACTTATATGTTTGCAATTACTATGTATCCATATACAAAAAGCTGTTCGTGTTATTACCAATCAATTAATTGTTCATTTCAAAATCTTATTAATTAAATATTAAAATATTTTGAATAGGATCGTCTAATTTGGCTGAAACCGTAAAAGGGGCCAAGCTTATTCAAGAATGTGTTCCTGAAAATCTACCGTTAAAATTAAAGGTTTACAATGAACTTGATAATGTAGTCGACGATAAAGTAATTTTGTCTTCATCAACGTCCACGTTCCGTCCATCTTTATTTAGTGAAAAATTAAAACATCGTGAGCAAGTAATCGTATCACACCCAGTATGTACACGTTTAAAAAATAATACATTCACCTTAAAAATGTTTTACAAGCAGTTAAACATTTATATTACTATAAACATAGGTGAATCCTCCGTACTATGTACCGCTCGTAGAAATTGTACCCGCACCATGGACTCGTGCTGAAATACCATTGCAGACAAAGTCTATTATGACTGAAATAGGCCAAGCACCCGTTGTACTTAGTAGAGAAATTGATGGTTTCGCGCTCAACAGAATACAGTATGTAAATTTTTATTTATATTAATCCATTTTGTGGTAATTTACTTCATATCTATTATGTAAAATTAATCTACACCTAGATATGCGATCTTAAACGAAGCATGGAGATTAGTAGCTGATGGAGTATTGAGCGCAAAAGACGTAGATGCAGTTATGAGCGAAGGTCTTGGTATGCGATACGCATTCCTCGGTGCTTTTGAAGCTGCGCATTTAAATGCGGAAGGTAAAATTATTTCCTAGGCACTGAAAATATATAATATAAAAATATGAAATATTATTGATCTAATTTTCTATTTTATAATTTTTCATTCTTTCAGGAATGAAAAAGTACTGTGAAACATATAAAAATTCAATGTATAATGTCAGTATGACGTTTGGTCCAGTTCCTAAATTTGAAGGCGAGATGGCGGAACGAGTTAGTAACGAACTCAATCAAATGTGTCCATTGGACAAACTTCAAGAGAGACGTGCGTGGAGAGACGAAGCTTTGACAAAATTGTCTTTGTTAAAGAAAGAATTGAACAACAAAAAATAAAAGCATATGTTGGAATTATTTCATGTTGGTGTGCATGTAATTAATGAAGTTTAAATAAAAATTGTATTTCTACAATCAGTTAAGAGTATCAAGAGTCGTTTGTTTCCTTTGAAGACTAACAAGGGAAGGGCACGAAATATCAGACCTCGATTTTAATGTAGTGTTGCAGTTGCCTTCAATTGACGTTCACATACTACAGTCAATCGTCCATAAGTGTCGCGATCTGGTGTAGACTGTACATTTACAAACAATTTAGTCTATTGTATAATATACAAAATCGAAGTCGGACAGTTCGTGTCCTTCTCTTGTGCGACTAATCGAATCAGTTCAGTCTAAGGCTACTTTAAGATATGATTATGTTACCTGGTCAAGTTCCCTTTTACACTGTTTTCTTTAGAATTTATGTCATGTTAAAAGAAATTTGAATGCAATGAGGCACGTATTGAATACGACTGTACAGTTGGATTAAAACTAAGCTTCCTAGTTTAAAATACTTTAGGTAAAATTGAGAAATAAATTTTTTAAATATAAAGTTTATTTTATTTATATTGTATCAGAATTTAACGTTTTCCTCCAACGCGTGGTGCTGCCTTTTGTGTTACTTTTGCAGCTTTATGTTTTGGTGCGGTTTTTGCTTTGGGAGTAACAACAGCCTTCTTCGTTGCTTTTGCAGCTTTTTTCTGTTCCTTTGCAGCTCTGAAATTAGATGATTCAAATAAATTAAATTGAATATTGGATATGTAAACTATAATATATACAATATTATTAAATTTGTGTGAACCCGCAAAAACCAAACAGTGTGAGTATATGACACAATTCTGGGTGAAGCAGTCCATTTTTAATTTAAGACATTCTGAAATCCAACATGATATGAAATATCACATTAGAGGAACAGATGTCTATAATATTAATTTTTATTTATATTCAAATTATGATAAACAAAGTTACACTTCATACATGAAAAATTTGACAACAAATCACACTTACTTAATTGCTTGCTCTCTCTGAGCTCTACGAATTTCTGGCTTCATATTACGTTTTGCCAAGATATCTGTAAGAGACGCACCAACAATAGCACGTTGGAATTTTTGAGTACGTCTTGTTCTCTTCTTTGCTTGTTCTTCCTCTTGGCCCTTCTTGTGTTTCCGTCTGTAACATAAAATTACGTTTTACATACCTGCTTTCTACTTCTAACAATTCTCAAAGAAATAAAATAACATTACCTGTATAGAACAGTCCATGTGACTTTTCTAGGATTGCGCCTCATTAAATGTGCAGATTCACATTTTGAGTTTAAAAAAGTGAATGTCTGAAACATCGCAGAGGTTAAGATTGACAGATGAATATTAACAAAATAAAAGTCAACGTTGCTTGATTATGGAAAGTTTAAGGAAAGAAGAATTTAATATTATAACAATAAGCATATGTAAATCATGTTGTACCTACTTTTCCATCCACTTTAACCATGGTTTTCCCATGACCGGGATATATTTTATATCCACTGTATGCACAAAGACCGATCCTGGAAAGATTGACGACATAGTCATGAAAAATATTTGAGTAACGTAATTATTCTAACACATTGAAGAAATTTTTAATGATTGCACTACAGCGGACGGATATTTATCTCAAAAGCCTTCACTTACTTCATGTTGAATAACCACGAAAAGACGGATTCGACAAAAATGGCCGATTCCAACCAATTTCGCACACGTTCAAACGTAAATTACGTACTACCAATGTTCTGGAACTAAAACTCTATAATCCGAATAAAATATAAGTAACTATATGCATACTTGAGAATTGAAAATAGTAAATGATATGAATAATTAATAATGTGAAAGAAAACAAATACGTATAATTTTACGACTTATATCTAAACTGTAATGCACTTGAATTTATAATTTCTTTTATTATCTACTAGTAGTTTTGTAAAGTTGAAGACACTGATTGTCAGTGTCACGCTGTTCACCAGTAATCATCAGTGTGGCGGCGATAATAATTAAAAGGAAAATGTATTTCAGAGTTCATGATACCTATTTATTACAAAATTAGTTAATTATTTGTAACTAATATTATCCAGTAGAACTTTTAATGGTATCTAACTTCTGAATTGAAAACCTGTTTCATTAATATCTGTTGTAACTGGGGGAAGAAACCCACGTGCTGGATGAATTATGTTTGAGGTTACAAGGTTGAAAAATACAGAACTTGTGGGGTTCGCCCACCCCGAAGAAATAAGCGATAATGACGAAGAAAATGAAATTACAAATATCAAAAAGAAAGTATGTAAAAAATCAGGAGGGTTTCAGTCTATGGCTCTTAGTTTTCCTGTCTTAAAGGGAATATTGAAACGTGGGTATAAGTTACCCACACCTATACAGAGAAAAGTAAGTCGTTGACTAAACTAAATAAATCGTATCATAAATGAAATAATTACCGATATTTATTTAAACATTGTTTATTGTGATAAATTATGTTTTTGTAGACAATTCCTTTAGCCTTAGAAGGTCGTGATGTAGTTGCAATGGCTAGAACAGGTAGTGGAAAAACAGCTTGTTTTTTAATTCCATTGTTTGAGAAACTTAAGGCAAGACAAGCAAAAGCTGGTGCCAGAGCTTTGATACTATCACCTACTCGTGAGCTAGCATTACAAACACTAAAGTTCATAAAGGAATTAGGAAAATTTACAGGCCTAAAAGCATCTGTTATTTTGGGGGGTGATAGTATGGAAAATCAGTTTAGTGTGATTCATGGAAGTCCTGATATATTAGTAGCAACACCAGGCAGATTTTTGCACATATGTATAGAGATGGATTTACAATTGAACAGCATTGAATATGTTGTTTTTGATGAAGCTGATAGGTAAGGATAATATCTTTGTTATTATATCTAATTTTCATTTGATAGTACAAAATTTATTACAGATTATTTGAAATGGGTTTTGGTGAGCAAATTAATGAAATTGCAAATAGACTGCCAGAGTCACGGCAGACATTGTTATTTTCTGCAACATTACCTAAAATTCTGGTAGATTTTGCGAAAGCTGGTTTAACAGATCCTGTTCTATTACGTTTAGATGTAGAAAGTAAAATACCAGAAGAATTAATACTTTCATTTATAGTATGCCGTCCAGAAGAGAAATTGGCAGTACTATTATGTTTATTAAAAACTGTTATTAAAAGTGATTCTCAGACAGTAATATTTGCAGCAACACAACACCATGTTGAATACATTCATCAGGTATACAAACATATGTCTTGATTTTTGATAAAATATTTATCTGAGATCTAAGGCTGTCATGGTCTAAGTTTATACACGATTTGATGACTTCTGAATAGATGCTGTGTCTATCTTCTTTGCAAACGTTGCAGTTTACATCTTCAGGACTGAAGGCTCTGGTTTGAGGTCTCCTATTTTTCGGAAGTCCTTATATAGCGTTGTAATTTAGTAAATCAGCTGATCTATTAAAACTCCGCTGATTGGCTAATGCATCGTTCCGGATGAACAACCACCGCTATACATATAAGAAGTTTTGAAAAACAGGAGACCTTAAACCAGAGCCTTCAGCTCTGAAAATGCAAACTGTAACGTTTGCGAAATGTCGGCAAATTGCTGAAGATAGACAAAGTGTTTATCCGAAAGCCATGAATTCGAGTAAAAATATTTATCTAATTCTTGTACATTTTTCTTTAATCAATAGATATTGGATAAAGCTGGGATTTCTAATACATTTATTTATTCAAATTTGGACCCATCAGCACGAAAAATAAATGCAGCTAAGTTTCAAACTTCTAAAGTTAAAGTTTTAATAGTAACAGACGTTGCTGCTCGAGGTCTAGATATTCCACATTTGGACAATGTAATAAATTTTAATTTCCCTGCAAAATCGAAACTTTTTGTACATAGAGTAGGTAAGCAACTACATTATTATTTATACTCTACAAAAGTTTCACAACGCGTAATCAATAATCTTTTTAACAGGACGTTGTGCGCGAGCGGGTCGAATTGGAACTGCTTACAATATTGTAGGCCCGGATGAATATGCTTACCTCATAGATTTACATCTTTTTCTCGGTCGATCGTTACGTATTATTCCACCTTCAGGATCTATAGAAAATGCAGAGGGTGCTGTTGGCAAAATGCCACAATCAATGATAGAGGAAGAACTTGCTGAATTAATAAATTGGCAAAAAAATTCCACAGATCTCGTATGTGTTTTTAATATATTGTTAGACGAATTTGAACGTTACCAAGTTTACAGTCGATATTCCTATTCTAATTATAACATCTTCTTTGTATATAGCAAAGTATGGAACAGGTTTGTGATAATGCATATAAACAATATATCAGATCGCGACCAGCAGCATCTTCAGAAAGTATTAAAAGGGTAAAAGAGTTGCACATTGGTGAAGCAGGTGTTATACCAGAATATTCTGATGTTTCTTCCAATACTACGAATTTATTGTCGAAAATAATGAGTTACAAGCCACAAGGAGTACGTATATCGTTTAAATTTACGTAGATTATATTACAAGTAAATAAATTATGTTGTTATTAAATTTCAATGTTTATCGGCAATAGACGATATTTGAAATTGGAGCGAAAGCATCCTCTATTGACTATCAAATTATGAAAACAAAACGGTCACAACATAAACAAGATATCATAAATTTTCATAAAAAAACAGAAGAAATGCAAGCAAAAAGGGTTTTAGAGGGTAACTATATAATAAGAAGAGAAGAACAATTTAATAAAAGTTATTATTTTAATAATTGATGATTTCATGTAGATCAACCTAAAAGGACGAATCTTCCTTCGAGTACAACTGACGAGATCAATGCAGCATTTAACACAGTGATTTTTCCAAAGAAAAGAAATATTGATGATTTATACAGACCCTCTAAAAAGAAAAAACAATCAGTAACGCAGGACAAAGAGTTTTTCATTCCATATTTCGCTCCAGATAAACACACAGAAGAAGGGTAAGTAATCATATTTTTATTACAAAAAGAAATTATATTTACATGTTCTTTTACAGTTTGGCTGTTAATTTTTTCGATACGGAAGCAAATAAAGCACAATTGGATCTAACTGCAGACAATGAAGAATCTCAGCGCCTTCAAGCACAGATTAAAAAATGGGATCGTAAAAAGAAGAAGATGGTTACCATTAATAATGTAAATGTGCCTTATGTTACTGATATATTAATAAATTTAGAAGTATTTCAAACCTGTATCTTTTTCAAAGGATCGGAAAGCTAACAAATTTCGAACAGAGTCTGGTGTTTGGATACCTGCTAGTTATAAAACAAATCGTTATTCGGCTTGGAAAGAAAAAAGCAAAATCGACGCCACGAATGACTACGATAGCGAAGAAGAGCCTTCAGAAATGCAGAAACGTACGTGGACATAATATTTATATTTAATGCTGTTTAATATTTTATTGTTTATTATATGGACACATTTATTTTGTTCTGTATTCTTTAGTACGTACAACGGCTAACACACATTGGGCACGTCACAATCAAAAGCTCAAGGAAAAGATTAAAACAAAGAACGAACTGAGAACACCAGAACAAATTCTAAAGGCGCGCAAGTTACTGGAACGAAAACGTAATAGAAATGGCAGGAAAGGTCGCTCAGGCCGGAAGAAGAGTGGGAAAAAGAAACGATAGCATATGATTCCTTTGTACTGTCTATAAATGTACAATGATAAATACATTTTGCAATATATATAATATTTATTTTTAACATCGATTCTGTTTTTTCCCCCTTATTATTTTTACCGTATATTGCAATGTTTAACAACTATACGGTTATTAAGAACCAACATGGCTTCGTCGGCGTTTTAAGTTTAAAAATTTTAATTTTAATTTTTTTGCTATAAAAGCAAGTATAAGCAAAAAAAGTATCCGTTTTTCCATAACGCGATAATAAATAAATACAATTATGTTCTATTTATAGTTTATTACTTACTTTTATTGAGGAGAGATGCGACAATAAATATCCTAACTAGTAATTTAAAAAAAAATTCTACAAAATTGCCACAAATTAAAAATAATATCATGCCGAACCTTCGTTGCAGAATGATTATGGAGTATTATACAATTTGCAAAGATTTCCGTTGCATCATTGCAATTTCCTTGCCTAATTGCCAGGATTTACGTCAGAGATTTAATACGAAGTTGGATTTTCTGCAAAATGACGAAAGTCTCGGAAAGTTATACGAATCAAGAAGAAAATGTCTCGATATCGCGGTGTTATATTTCTAAATAAAATGAAAATATTTTAATGCATTGAGAACTTTAAAATTATTGATTATACATTCTTAATGTTGATGTAATATTTTAATTAATTATACGAGCTTCATTATTCGTCAATTGTTTCGAATTATCGGAAGACGCGATCGATACATTTGAAAACAAAATAATTAACGAATTATCCAGTTATCTCTATTTAAATCGCCCAAACCTTAAAATTTATCTCATAATTCAATAATTTTATTGTTACAAACTGTCTGTTGGTAATTTGTTAAATACGATGCTAATCATTGACAGTTTTAAAAATAAAAAGATCCAACTTTATCATAGGCGGATTAATTTAAGGCAAGATGTGTCTTAAGAAGCACGTAAATTTAAAAACGATTGTTTTTGCCTTGTCTTTTAAATACCAAATTATGGTGTTAATGCTAGATTACAAAGCGTTCTTTATAATGAACTCACATCTTTATATAAAAAGTATTACAAGATGTTTCTTTTTTGTTTTATATTTCAAAAATTGTTATGGAACTGTATCGAGCGATTTTAGAAAAGGAAGCAAAAGGAGAGAAAGGAAGCAACGCTAATCCGTTCGTGAGTCATAAATGACAACTGGTTTGAAGTCAGTTTGTTAACATGTATGTAAAACACTGTTACTGAAATATTATGAGTCACGCGTTAATATTGATCATCGTTTATTTATATATATGCACCTATCGCCAAATGGTATAGATATGAATTTTATAAGTCGATTAGTAATGGCTGATATCAATTCTTTCGAAATTCATTTACGTAAAGTTATTCGTAAATCTTATATCTGACTCAAAAAGTATGGCTTCAAAGTTTGCACGAAATTGAAAAGGGGATAGACGCGTCCATATCATTACGGTTCACGAAATGTCAGGGTGGGGCACATTTTTCAACGTGCTTACGAGTAATGAAACGTCTATTTTGGTTGTTCCATTTTCAACATGAAACTTGTCGATATTAGATCGAATAAATTTTCACTCTCGAAAAGTTCTGCGATTTTTAAAATTTCATCGATATAATATCGCAGTACATTAAAGGTTCTATCGTTCCATCAACTTTTCCTCTGATCAATATAATTTAAGGGAATGTAGAGATATGAATAGTAAAATACGTGTATGCGATAACAATAATTCCCTCACAATTATTCGCTGCAATATTGATCGATGCAAATTATGCAGATGGTTCAACTGTTGAAAGCTCTGGGACAAGGTCATGGCAGTCAATTCGCACGTATACTACGAAGATCCACGCTACTCTAAAATTGTCAATTTCTTTGACTGCGCAATTTTTGTTTAACAAATCCAATCGACTTCATCCAATATATTATTTTAAAAAGATAATTATACAATTATATACTCAATATTGTTATACAATTTAAAAAAAGAACCTTTTGTTATTCAATTCTAAATAAACTCACTGTTCCATATTGACCATCATCATTCGCCACACCTCAGTATTTACGAATTCTTGAAGTAGTCACGCAAGATTCTTCGAGTCTCCACAACTAATCCCCGACAGTCCTTTCCATCGCTTTCTGTTTGGAGGGAAATAATTAAATTTGTTTACAAAATAATTACGCTAAAGCTCACGTACCCAAGAACCAGTTGAAAGTATGCGATCTCCATCTTTTCCTAAAATTAAACACCCTCGTGAACATCTGCTTCATAAGACTGTTAGAATTCGGTTAATGAGATTTTTTATTTCATTTTTCAAATTTCATTCTACCAATTTCAATTATTATTTACTGTTTTTACATACTTACCTATTAGATAACGAATTGCGTAAGTACCTGCTTCCGTATCTTAAACAGAACATTGGTACTTTCGAAATTCGGTACTCAACGAAAGCGGTGTAGTCCATTTTATTCTTTAAAGATATGACAAATATACTTATCGGCGATCACTAATAGAATACAACTTGCCAATTAGCGGTTATCGATATTTTTCAGTCGATTGAAATACAAAATCTTTTATATCAATAATATCAAAAATATTTGAAATAAAATGTCCTATTTACAATTAATTTTAACATCGTTAAGAAAATAGTACGTAAGAATAAGCGAATCGAGTGGTAAATGTTCAATTACGCGTTTGATAAAAATGATCCAGTAAAATCGCACGGCCTGAACGGAAACCAAAAATCGCTCCTACACGGAACGTGTTAATTTTGTTCTGATATTTTGTTCATTTTTAAGAAGGGTCGTGTTCTGAAGAACTGTTGAACTCTGTTTCTATGCGCATATACGTAAGCGACGTAAGTACGAAGACCTTAGCACGTGTTCGTCATCCATCGACGAATACAAAGTACACGCGGAATCGTTTTTTGTTTTGTAGCGGTACATGCAAGCAAACGCAACAGACATGACGCTGCTTTCACAGAAAACCACGGCATCATCGTTTTGCGTACGGTTGTCCGGGTTGAGTATCACGTATTTTTAACCGTGTGACGTAGTCGAGAGACAGTCAGTAACGGCGTGGATGGTGAACGGTAGATCGTAGACGTGACCGTCTGGTTACGAATAGACTTATTTCCACGGTCGGTGTCATTGGGATCGTGACCGAGTAGCGGCTGCAGCTGCCTTGGCACGAATCTCTGATCGAGAAACCGGTGGCGAAAATTCATTGTTCCTGCACGGATTCGCTGTTCTCTATTTTGTGACGGTTCTCGGCTGACGTACAATGGTAATGGAAAATACCTTGGGAAACATTGTTGCGAGCGGATCCACAGAGACGAGAGAATCTGCCTTCGTCGTCTATCGATCTATCAATTCTTTAATAGGGAAAAAGAAAAGATTTATGGATTAAGAAATGCATTCTGCGCCATAAGACTTTACGAAGGCTAAATTTTCTAATTAAAGCTTCAAATCTATTGTAATGACAAACACAAGCAGTTAATCGAGAACGCTTCAAAGATAAGCGTTTAATAAAGTCGCTGGTACAGCGAAATTGTCTGATAACTCTCCACGACGCGCTATCTTCCATACTCTAGAAACTTCATTTTTTACCTTGTAATTAGGTGAAGTATCGGAGACGGAATTACAGTAAAGCCTCGATTTAACGGACTAATTGTGAGAGAGAATATCAAAGTTTTTTACCGACATGCCCCCGTTTTGTATAGAATATTCTTGGAATACGATTTGTTTTTTTTATAGTTCAACGCGTTACAGAATAAATCTTCGTTCTCTGAAAAATCTTCGTGTTTTCCGTGGACGCTAGCAATTTTCCACGATGTCGTTGAGCTTGTTTTCACCCGTCCGTTATAAAAATAGTTGGTCAATTTTGCGTTAATTTTCCAGTATTAAAAGTAACCGGAACACGGGAGAGAGGTGCACATGCCCGTAAGTACTTATGAGAAAATTGCGCAAATGCGCGGAATGTCGTCTGAGAAAAAAAGAGGACTGCGTAGTTATTAGATCGTTCACCGTGTTGTGGATAACATTAAAATTACGTAGATCGAAATATATTTATAACGTACGAGAAACAACAGTGAATCATGTTTAATACACTCACGAGGATGGTTCACGCAAAAACCCCTCAGGACTGATTGCTTAATTGGCACGCCGAATGTTCGTCCAGAGAGTAGGATATCTTATTACATTCCCTCATAGAAATTTCGTACTGTCGAAATCAGAGTTGTTACGTAATGAGCGTATATCGTATCGTAAAAGTGAGCCGCACGCAATTAGTATCCAACCGTTACAATTGCACACTACCGGGCAATCGTTCAAATTGTTCACCAGAAACATACACTTCCATACGTGGAATATATGAAATTAATTACTCGACGAGTACACTTTCTATTACCAAGCTACTTTTACCGCTTATCAATATTAAGATATTTCGCATTGTGAAGTATACTGAAACCCAGATTCTTAATTAACGGAGAATCGTTATCGAAACGCGCGCTCGTCAGGAAGTCGTCGTTAACCCTTCTTGTCTTACGTTAATTAATTCAGTAAAGAAAGTATTAGTACAGTTAAATCATAGAACGCATTAGTACAAACAGATTTCTCGATTGATTTATTAACTTTTTATTATTTATTTTCTACTATCATAGGATCATCTGTTAATTTTCTAATACGAATCGAAACTAAAAATGGAATAACTGGGACAAGCTATTTTCTAAACGAAAATACCCAAAATTGATAGAGCAGGAAATTGAATTTTGCAATAAGGACTATCTTTGGATGATATAATTTTCTGTTTTTATGCAACGTTGCAATTCCAATGTGCACTTGCACTTATTTTTCAAGTGGAACTTAAATTTTTTTCTTTCTTTTACAAAAGGTAATAATGAAAGATGTAACATTAACTAACGTGCTGTGGACCTTAAGCTGGAAGATAGATGTGCTTTGCTTACCGATCAAGACAACTAGACTCCATTTCGATATATTCTTCATTCGTAACTGTCGGACTTTAATATAGAAAGTGTTCATTTTTCTCCATTCGTAACAAAAGCACTTCGTCTTCCGGAGAAAAGAG